AGGACTGACCAAGGAACCATCAAACAAGCAGCCACTCAAGAAATTTCTGGCATCTTAACTGTCATTCTCCCCCAGCCACCAGTGGTGGAGTCACAGGCACCTATTTGATAGGTATTTAAGGAAAAGTTTCCCCCTCCCCCAGTTGAGCTTGACCCTCCGGTCGACTTCACTGAGAGTCCATGTAGTTTCTTGTCAACAATATGGAAGTAGTTTGGTTGGCACCGCCTTCTTCCACGACGGGGTGTTTTTTTTTCCCCCTCAATTTTCCAGGCCAGCCGACAGCCCGAGCATTTCCTGATGGTCGCCCATCCAAGCGCTAATTAAGTCAACTCACTTTTCTGTGTGGGCCGAGGGGCCGATACGCGCCACGCTTTTAATTATTACCGTGATCGAAATGTTTTCCACCGTCCCCAAATGTGTGTCGTCTTCCCCCCCCCCAAAAAACAACTTCAAGCCTCATCCTTCCAGTGGAGACCCCCCCACACACCCCAACCCTGTCAATCACACGGCTTTCTTTCCCATACGCGGGACGGGAAGAGGAGGAGTGCGGGGGGGGGGAATCTGATAACAGTATAACCGAGTTGGAAAGGGACCTTGGAGGTCATCTAGTCCAACCCCTTGCTCACCCAGACGACCTATACTGGGGATTCGAACCGCCGAATCGCCGACCTTTCTTGATCGACAAGCTCAGCGTCTTTTAGCCACTGAGCCACCCGCGCGCGCCTTCGGTCTCTACACACCCGAGGGGAAACTCTTCCCACCCACCCACCTCGCTTTGACGACGGTAATACGAAAAACAAACCCATTCCTCTCCCCCCCCCTCACCTCAGCCCAATTCGGCGCTCCCCTTTCTCCCGCACTACCTCAAGTCGTCGACCGCCGCCACCTCCTTCTTCTCCAACTCACAGGGCCGGGCCGGGCCTGGCTGTGGTGGGTGGGTGGGGGAGGAGAGAGCGGCTCCCTCAGGTGGCCACTGACAGGAGGAGGAGGAGGAGGAGGAGGAGGACGCGGACGACTACAGGGGATGCCGTGGAGGGGAGGGGTCACGAGTGGAGTACGCACGCGCGAGGACAAGCCGCGAAGAAGAGGGGGAGCGTACAAGACGGAGAGGGGGGGAAAAAAAAAGGCGGGCGAGCAACTTTTAGTCTCGCGCCGAGCGACGCCCCGCCCCCTCCCCCTTCAGCTATCTCCTCAGGCGCTTCCCTTCGTCAGCTGCCGCAGCGTCTGCGCACGCGCGGAAGCAGCGGGCCGCCGGCACCTCTTTCTTTTTCTTCCTCCTCTTCTTCCTCCTCTTCGTCGTCTTCCGCGCTCCCATTTTGAAGCCACGCCTCTTCAGAGGTTCGCTTGCCCACTTGGGGGGGGCACGCCCCTTCCTCCGCTGTGCTGGTGCGGAGACGCCTCCCCTCACGTCTCTTGAGGGCGCTCCGTCCGTCAAAACGCCTCCTTCCTCCTAAAACGCTCCTTCTACGTCAGCCTTCCACCGATCAAGCCACGCCCTCTGTCTCAGAGTTCGTCCTTTCCTGGGCCACGCCCATCCTCTCCCGAGCGCCGCCTCCGCAACCGAGCGCCTCCATCTTCTTGAGCCTGGTACAAAGCAACGCCCGCTTGGCTCGCCTTCCCTTTGATTCGCCAACTTGGTTGACGACCAAAGTTATTCCACCAATGAAAAGTTCCGAACGGTGACGGGGAGCCAATGAAGGGTAACGGGCGGGACATCAACCATCAGAGCCTCACCGGAATTGCTATAATCAGAATTCACACCTTATTTCATTTTACCTCCCCCTCCCCACTTTGCCCTGTCATTCATTTCCACTAAAAGGAAACTACTGTAGATGGTCCCAAATTATCATCGACCTTAAAACTATAAAAAGAACTCCAAATGAATTTTTCAAATGGGAAAGGGAAAATATAACTCCCTGCAGTATAATACTCGCAGTATAATTTGAAGTGTTAAAAGTGACATATTGGAAGGGTTCTAAACTCATTTCATACTGCTGGGATTGTGACTGTAAAAAGAAATCTCCTGGTGATGGTAGCTAGCTCACCAGGAAACATGCAATACTAGCAGTGTGCTAGTTCCATCCTTACTAAAATTATCTTCCTACACAGGTAGTCTTCAATTTACAACAGTTCAGTTACCAGTTACAACAGCACCAAAAAAAGTGACTTATGCCCATTTTTCACACGTATGTCAGTTGGTCGTATGATTTACCTTTGGATGCTTGTCAACTAACTCACATTTATGACGGCTGCAGTGTTCTGGAGTCATATGATCCTCTTTTGCAACCTTCTGACAAGCAAAGTCAATGGGGAAGCCAGATTCGTTTAACAACTGTGTTACTAATTTAAGAATTGCAGTGATTCCCTTAACAAAGGTGAGAAAAGTCATAAAATGAGGCAAAACTCAACAAAGAGCCTTGATGGTACAGTGGTCTAAGCACTCTGTTATTAACACAGCTGCCTGCAATTACTGCTGGTTCGAATCTCTCCAAGGCTCAAGGTTGACTCAGCCTTCCATCCTTTCTAAGGTAGGTGAAATGAGGACCCAGATTGTGGGGGCAATAAGCTGACTTTGTATAAAATATACAAAAGAATGAAGGCTATTGCTTAGCGCATTGTAAGCCGCCCTGAGTCTCCGGAGAAGGGCGGCATATAAATCAAATTTAAAAAAAAAAAATTCTCACTTATGACCACAATTGAGCCACAATTTGTTGCTAAGTTGAGGACTACCTGTATTCTCTCAAAATCCAAAGAATCTGATGAGAATTTGAGAAATGGAATTCCTGCTGAATTGTGGTGAGTGACAGATGTTTGGTCATAAAAAGGGATCAAACCACCATAGCTTTGTGCCATGGTTACTACAAAATTACTCTCCAGGTTGAAAGTACCAAACTCCTCCATGCATTTCTAGAAAGTCCTTCGGGAGAAGGGCGGTATAAAAATTTAATAAATAAATAATAATAAAATGAGCAGGCAGCTGGCCATCATTCTACAAAAGAATCTGAGTTTATCATCACTGCAGTGGTGGGTGAATACTTATGGAGACAAAGCAGCAACAAGGATGGAGAGATAAGCCGGAAGCCACAAGTTCCTCGTGCATCTTGCATTCTTTTAAGTTCCCTACTGAAAGCGTGAATAAGATTTTAAGGAAAAGATAAACTTACTCTCCTAAAAACCTGACACTGTTCCCCATAAAAGATTGGATAACAAAAGCAAAAAAAACCCCTAGCCCTATTACTGTATTCTCAGGAAATTTAAATTGACCCATAAAGGGAAATTATTTGAGGAAGAAAAACTAGTCCTTTTATAACATAGTATCTACTACAGGTGGGCCTCACTTAATGACTGGTGTCTTATAACTGTTTGAAGTTATGACGGACCCCAAAAAAGGTACATGTGACCCAGGTTTGAATTTCTGGCTTCTCCCCTCCTGTTACATGATTGCGTTTTGCACATTTGGTGACTAGTCCACATTTACAGCCGCTTGCAGCATGTCAAAGTCACATGACTGCAAATTATGGGTTGTTTTTCCTAGAATCCTGTGTTTGCCACTGTTTTCAGCAAAAAAATACCCATTGCAAACAATGGATTTGTTTAATGTCTGTGGCATTCCCTTAATGACTGTAGTGTTCCCTTAACAACTACAGCAAAACAATTGTAAAGCTGACCAGCAAGAGTTGCAACTGTAATTGCAGGCTGATTTATGGTTGTAAGTTGAGGTCTACCTGTACCCATGTAATGAAACTCATCATATTAATAATTTAGAGGGGGAAAAGACTGGATTGGCTCCACTTGGTCATGTGCTGGCATGAGATAATGGGAGTTGCACATCTGGAAGTACAAAGTTAGATAAGCCCAATCAAAATCATCTCCCACTGCAACCTCTTACATGATAGAGTATAGCAACAGCACTTAGACTTATGTACCACTTCACAGTCCTTTACAGCCCTCTCTAAGTGGTTTACAGAGTTAGCAACTTGCCCCCAACAATATAGACTACCCAAACAAGCAGTATTTTTTCAGACTTATTAAGATTTAGATCAGGGGTGTCCAACCTTGGCAATTTTAAGACCTATGGACTTCAAGAATTCCCCAGCCAGTCCACAAGTCTTAAGCACCAAACTATATCTTCTTCCAATGATGGGACAGGTAGTCCTCGACTTACAGCAGTTCACTTAGTGACCATTCAAAATTACAATAGCGGTGAAAAAAGCGATTATGACCATTTTTCACACTTACAACTTTTGCCGCATCCCCACGGCCACGTGATCAAAATTCAGATGCTTGGCAACTGATTCATATTTATGACGGTTGCAGTGTCCCGGGGTCATGTGATTACCTTTTGCGACCTTCTGACGAGCAAAGTCAGTGGGAAAGCCGGATTCACTTAACAACTGTGCTACTAACTTTAACAACTGCAGTGATTCACTTAACCACTCTGGCAAGAAAGGTGGTCAAAAGGGCAAAATTCACTTAATACATGTTTCACTTACCAACAGAAATTTTGGGCCCAATTGTGGCCGTAAGTCAAGGACTACCTGTACTTGCTTCACATCTTTTTTTTTAACTGCTGTCAAGTTTATATCATTAAATGCGAAGAAGTAATGATAGCATCCTGAGACTATTTTATTTTTCTCTCCCCTGCATAATTTGGGAATACTATTTTTTTCAACCACTAAAATATCACAAAAAGTATGTATGTAAGTCTTGATCAGGCCAAGTGATAGGGGGAAAAAACCAAAAGCTAACTATGGGCACAAGGTTAACATTTTAGATCTATTTTAATTAGGGGTACATTTTTCTTTCTTTCTCCTCTTCTTTTGCATACCTGTACAACTAGATTGTAAAAATATTTTAAAGATGAAGTTCTACATAGCTCTTGCCTTTAGTGGCCTATATACAACTCTGGGTGGAATTAAAGATATGCTTCCCACAGATATTTTCTCACCCGGAATTAGGAAGAAAATTGAGCCTGAAAACAAGACAAAAACTCTACTTCCCCCTGTACATTTTTTTTTTATGTTTACACATTATTGTTAAGAAAGATTAAACACTTTTTGGAAAAAAGGCTAAAAGACAAAACTGTACAAATTTACTAAAACACATTTTAAGTACATAAAAAGAACTGTTTCATAAAGAGTGTTAATGAACAGCTGCAGGTGTCTCAGAAGTGTGAACAGCAAGAACTCACACACGCGTTGGCAGATTCCACATTTCAACTGTGCAAAATCACAAGTTCAGTGATCTAATCGCCCACCCTCTATGAGTTAAAATGCAGATTTCTAGGAAGATGGGACAGTGTATATCAAGGGGTATATTCTTTGGGAAGGGGGCTGAGAAGGAAATGAGGTATGTGTATTTTAACAAAGACAGCCTGCTTGGTATCCTGAAAGCTAGATTCAATCTATCGGGGCTTTTTCAGATCAGGCCTCTTAGGTCTGCCCAGGTTTGTTAGTAAGGATGCGCGCCTAGCGTCTTTACGATAAGAAATATTTTTTACTTTTTGGTTTTATATAGGAAAGGAAGTCTTTTCTAAATACGAATCTTGATTGCGAATGCATTAGTAATTCTGTTACGGAGGCTGAACACTGCTTAGGAAGAGGGGAAAAAACAATCTGTTAATTGGAAAATATATAGCTTCTGTCCCTCAATTATACATGGAGAAGAGAGCCTAGGAATATGGATAACAGACATCCCTGAATTACGGACTGGAAGAATAAATCCATTTTCACCCAAGATTTGTGTAAAAAGAAAAAAAAAGTTTCTAGCCTTCCGACTTATTTATTTACATCTAGTTTAAAGATGCAGTGGGAAAACTGGGAGAATCAGCTCGTTCAAAAGGGTAAAATCATTGTACAGATCCAATTGCTTCTCGACACCTTCCCTACCAACCCAAGCCTATATTTTTGGCACTCCAGAGGTTTTTTTTTAAATCCTAAATAGATGTGAGGGGGGCCCTTGCAGGGTTTTTTTTAAAGATCCAAAACATGGAGGAAATCACACACAATGTATTTCTTCAGGAGTAAGTAAATGTTCAGTCTATACTGACATGAAATAACAAGCATTTGTTGTTATTCTCTGAAGGAAAAGAAAAAACAAAACAAAGGGGGGGGGAACGACTGCCTTTTGCCAGGATCTATTAAGGAATGTTATAAACAGACCTACATTAATAGACAAAATTAAAGTTTCAGAATACCAGCTCTTCCTCTTTTAGTATTTTTAGATACTACTTATCCTGTACTTTCCTCCCCCTATTTCTCTCCCGGTATATTACAAACAACTTTTCTTTTTTACAGATCAACCTACTTCGGAAAGGAACTGGATTGCATTATTCCTGAAAGTATCAAGAGCGCATGATTAGGGGATACTGGCTATAGCTTTTGGAAGATAGTGCTAAAAAATCCATAATTAAGAACTCACTGAACTACCATAGTAACAAGATAAACTATCTCCTTTTGAAATTGATACACCACACACCACACTAGAAGCAGGCTTGTGTCCCTGCCTTAAAAGTAAGATAATTTTTTAAAAAATAGTTAGAAAAGCTGGATTCTAGTGTAACATGATTTATGCAGTCACTTGCATAATTGTTTTGCATAATCATTCCAAATTAGGTACTTTGCATAATATAGGATCATTTTGCTAACCATGGGAAGGCTAAGGGCACAGAATTCCTACCCCAATCATTGGAAAACTTGTTTAAGCTTCCCATGTTGAGTCTGGGATGTGGGAAGTTATCTCCCATATCCTTTCAAACGGTATCTTTGCAGCTATTAGGGGCTAAAAGCTTTCTCATTAACTTTCTACATTCTAATTAGGAGTCTTGGAAGACCCAACTGTAGCCTAATCTCAAACAAATCACACCAATTCAGATCAGGCCAGCTTGTTTTTCCAAGCCGCCATTTGTCCTTATTTCCGACCCAAGAGTTGAAAAGAGAGGTGAAGTCATGTTCCCGAAAGAAAAAATGAAAACAATCATGATTTTTTACCCAGATGGGTAATGTGTCTTGAGGAAAAAAAACAAAGGATTACCTCGGAGAAAAAACATGCACCTTTTAAGGAACCAAACAGGCACTTGAAACACAGGCAGAGGCTGATTACCATAAGCTTTGCTCCAATATGAATTATCTGAAGAATTATTCTGAAGAATGCAGAGCCCCAAGTGCCCTAAAGTGACGTAAGGAAGGAAACACCTCCCACATTACTTAACCAATTTGCTGAGTTCTTTCTATGATAAGGTAAGCAAATGGAGCAGTGTTTGGTCAATCTTAATAATTTTAGGATGTCTGGACTTCCACATGTGAAGCCCACATATCTTGGGACTCGCTAAGGTTGAAACACACTAAAACAGAGATAGAGCATTTCCTGCCAGAGAATGGGGCCTATGCTATTTAGATGCACCAACTACATGTATTGCTACAGAGCAAGTGTGTTCAAGAAGCAAATCTAGCAGCCTGGATAATACAAAGGGCAATAGAGCCTTCATAAAAATATAGGCACATGGCATTTTCAGGGGCAGTTTTAATTAGCAAGGAAGCAGGCATGGCTTTCTCTATTCCATCCCAACCTCCCTATACCTTCATTATATGGGCTGATTTCTTTCTCTTTTAAATAAATCTCATTTGAAGGGGCCCTTGTTTTATCCATGTCACGTAAAACCAAGTTCTGAGAAATAGGAAGGGCTGTCTCATACAACCCTGTGTGTTTACTTACATTCGACATCCCTGCAACCTAGATGATCCACACACACACACACGCGTGCACACACACACTCACTCACACACACACACATCTTTAAAAAGAGCTCAGAATGGCCATGCCAAATTGTGGGTCTAGGAAAGGTCACCTCCACGCCATTCTCCTAGAGGGCTTGGAGAAGTGTTCGCTGCCCATCCTTTTTTGTTGTTGTTGTTGTAAAAAAAAAAAAAAAAAGCCGAGTGTACAAAATGATTTCCATCTTCTTCCCAAGTGAAGACAGTAGGTTCACAATAGACTGGCCAGGCTGGTGGTAGGTCCATTTTGTGCCTGAAACTGTACTGGTGGGGGCCCATCTGTCCACTGCAGGCAGGGAAAAACAAAGAAGTAGATGGTGTTTATTGACTGGTGCGTGGTGATTCATCTGATAACGTAATGATACTTTTAAAACAAACATCAAGATTTAAATAATCTTTATCACAGAAATATGTGCACAAAGCTTTGAAACAGCAATGGGCAACATGCAAATTACTGCAATTTCCATGATTCCTTGTTATTGCTGTGCTGGCTAGCACTGACCAGATAAACGAGACCACCTTCTGCCACCGATAACCTCCCACCGGCCAATCTGCTCCCACAGAGAGGGTCTCCTCGGGGTGCCATCAGCCAAGCAATGTCACTGACGACCCCCAGGGGGAGAGCCTTCTCTGTGGGGGCACCCGCCCTCTGGAACGAGCTACCCCCAGGAATACGACTGATCCCGGAGCTCCGTACTTTCCGCCAAGCGTTGAAGACCTTCTTATTTCAGCAAGCCGGGCTGGTTTAAAATTTTAATGGGCTACTTTATGGGTAAGGGGTTTTAAAATTTGGGGAAGCCAAACTAATTTAATTCTGTTTTAATTTATTTTAATTTTTATACTGTATGTATTTTAATTTTGGCTGTTCACCGCCCTGAGTCCTTCGGGAGAAGGGCGGTATACAAATTTAATAAACCTAAACCTAAACCTAAACAGAGATTAACACCCAGATTAATACCAGACCAACCATCAAACAAGAAACAATACCCCAATCAAGAAACCATCAGGAAGACTCCCACCTGCACTGAAAGGGCAAGGAACTTGTATAAAACAGAGAGCAAACCTCACTCTCACCTCACACTGATGATGTCTCCTAGTTGGATAACAAAATGTCTACAGGCAAACAACCATGTTCAGCAAGCACAAAAAATCCCACAGTTCAATCCTGAGCTACAATACAACCTACCCTGAACGTAAGTCCTAGCTTGATTTTTACACCTGCCCCCCCCCGCAAAATCAGCCCTAATTAAGATCCCGCCCACTCCAGGGTATACTAGTAAAAATTAAGCTAGGGTGGGAATGGGGGTGGGTGGGTGGAGCTGCCCTGCTACTTACCTTTGGACAGTTGCAGCTAGGCCTTGCACACCCTTGCTGGCCCATTTCTTCTGCAGCCGGCAAGGCTTTCCTGAAGGCCTCTGCAGCCGACAACAGAGTTCCGAATTGATCCGCAAATCTGTTATCGGCTGCAGAGGCCTTCAGGAAAGCCTTGCCGGCTGCAGAAGTTCTTGAAGGCCTCTGACAGCGAAAAGGAGGCCAGGGGGCTATGTGTACAAATGAGGTGAGTCAGTGGATGACTTTCCCCTCCTCCCCCAAAATAAGATCTGGTTCCTTTTTTGGTGGAGCCGGTCTTATTTAACACCTGGTCTTATTTTGGGGGAAATACAGTATTATCTTTTACTGAACAAGGTTAGGCTTACTTACTTACTTACTACATTTATATGCCACCCATCTCACTAACAAGCTACTCTGGGCAACTTACAAACATCATAGATACCTAGGTGACCATGCTGCCAGACCTTACTTTGTTCTGCTGCTACCCTACCCTTCTCAGCTGTTTACTAAACCCAAAGGAGACTGAGGTCTCTTACTTACTCAATTAGCGTACTACTTTTCAACTATAGGCAAGAGATTTCCCTCAAAAAAATATGAACCAGAATTCCAAAGCAATAAATAAATTATGTGATTTTCAATTAGCAGATAAATATTGTTAAACAAGCCTGTAGTCAAGACCTTTCGATTAATCACACTAAATGAAGAAAAGAATAGGATGGTTTTAATACCCAGAAGAGAACATAAGATCTAGAGATTAGATCAACAGCCTTGGCTTGTTTTCTTAACAAAAGAAAACAAAATTCCCAAGAGACATTGTGATTTCTATCAAAAGAACAAAAATACGCTGTTTTACAAACTGCCCACCCACCACTTTCTGTACTCCCTAAGCCTATTATTGTCCTAAACGAGGAGGCCAGTGGAAAAATCGGAAAAAGAATGCCCACAATGTCCCACCTTATTCTACAGTTTCAATACAGGTAATCCTCGAGTTATGACTGTAATGGAGCCTGGTCATGGTCATAAGTTGCGACAATCATCAGAGGGGCCCATCCACGTACAAACCCAATTTTATGACCTTTTTCACAGCAGTTGTTAGTTGTTAAGTGACATAATGGTTTTGCTATAAGCCAATTTTGTCGAAAATCAGAAATAAATGCTAGATTTCAGCAAAAACGCTATAAAACATGGTCACATGAGAGATGCTGCAAACCGATGTAAATGAAACTTGACTTGAGTGGCCGAAGTGCAATCACTTAACTGTGGGTGGAGGGCAGCCACTGGAACTTCAGAAACGGGCAATAAGTACCCTCAGAGAAGTTTGTCATGACTCTGAACAATTGCTAAGTGACCGGTCATAAGTCGAGGACTTCCTGCCATATTAAATTTGAGCAGCTAGGGAACAGAGGATCTTTCTCCTAGGATCTTCTGTTTTTCCTACCCCCTACCCCATAGCCCCCACTCAGGTTAGCATACAGCAGGGGTGGGAAATGATGGCCCCCCCTTTATGACTCATGGACTTCAACTCCCAGAATTCTTGAGGCAGCATGGCTGGCTCAGGAATTCTGGGAGTTGAAGTCCACGAGTCATAAAAGGGCGCCATCGTTCCCCCTCTCCTGACATACAGAAAGCAAGGGCCAGAAAGAAAAAAAAGATGTGGCCAACATACGGTGATAAGGTTGTGCTCTGGGAGGCTACAGGCCTCGATGTGATCCTGGAGCAGCTGCTGGGAAAAGTTCTGATGCATTTGCGCTGCTTCATGGGCATCGATGGCATTCCCACATGCTTTGTTTAGGTCTTCATTGGAAAGGAGGGAGAGAGAAACAGAGACATTAGATTGCAAATCCTTTCAGGCAGGAACCCATCCTCCCCCCTCTATGGAGCACATTATCCAAACAAATGACCCACTCTGCATTAAATAATATTAAGTTAATGATAAATATTACTACAGGTAGTTCTTGACTTACAACAGACCGTTCAGTGTTACAATGGCACTGAAAATAGTGACTTGTGACCATTTTTCACACTTACGACCATTGCAGCCTCCCCAGAGTCATGTGATTTCTATCCAGACGCTTGATGACTGACTCACATTTATGACGGTTGCAAGGTCCCAGGGTCATGGGATCCCCTTTTGTGCCCTCCTGACAAGCAAAGTCGATGGGGAAACCAGATTCACTCAACGACCATGTTACTAATTGAACAACTGCAGCTGAATCACTTAACAAATGTGGCAAGAAAAGTCATAAGATGGGGCAAGACTCACTTAACGAATTTCTCACTTAGCAACATATATTTTGGGCTCAATTGTGGTCGTAAGCTGAGGACTACCTGTATATTGTTATCATACCTTTTAAAAAGCTACTGGGTCAACTCAAGCATACCTAATGCTCCCACCTGCTGTTTTCTCCACCCACAATAACCCTGTGAGTTTGGCTGGGTTGAGAGAGAAGGACTGACCCAAAGTCACCCAGTCTGCTTTCATACAATACGTAAGGAAAACTTAAGACCTCATTACTGGTTTCTAGGCCAGGTATATAACACCACTACACCAAACTGGCTCTAATAATAAGTAAATATTATTAGAAGCATCAAGAATTAGAAAAGTCGATATATAACTTTTTTTAAAAGTAGTACCGGTAGTACTCTAGAATCTAAATCCATTTTTATTTAATGATCTATACTTTCAATTTCTTCAGAAAGAATTCATGACTTTCTAAAACGTACATGATAAAAAGGAAGTGCAAGCATCATAATCAAAGACTTTTATACTAAGCTATTATCTCCTGGGTTACGTTAAGATGGCAATGTAAGTTATGATTAAACTATTCTGAATATCCAAGTTGACACAGGTGTAAGAGTGTTGGGTAAATTGCATGAAACAAAAATGATATTTAAGGGAAAAAAGACTGCGGGTGCTCCTTGCTTAAAGACCACTCATTCAGCGACTATTCAACTTTATGGTGGTGTTGAACGAGTGGTATTCACAAGTGGTCTTCTGTGTTCCCGCAGTCCTGTGATCATGATCTGGGGACTTGGCAACTGGCTCACAATTGTGATGTCACAGCACTCCATGGTCACCATTTGCAACCTTCACTGCCTGCTTCTGACAAGCAAAATGAATAATATGTCTTAATTAAGATAACTTGGCCAATGTGGTTTGCAAACAGTGGTTCATGTCTTAGCATGTTGTTCAACCCAACTCCCTGTGGTTTATTCAATCATTAAAGAAACCGTAGTTTATCACAGTGTACAAACGCATTGAATGATGATCCAGTGTGTTAACTGACCTCTCAGGAGGGCCGATGACCACAGCTGCACAGACATGTCGGGGATCTTGCTGGCCAGCTGCATGGCGGGGACTACCATGTTGTTACTCTCCTAGAGATAAAAGGGGTCTTGATCAAACAAAGATGGCAAACTGGACGTGGTTATTTTTCCTTGAATTTACTGACTGCGACCACCACATACAAATACAAACACGAGTTTGCAGGGCACCGTCTGTCACCAATCAACACAAACCTCTTTTATAAATATATTATAAATATCTATGGAGATTCTCAAGTCATCCAGGTCATGGTTGTCCCAAAGGTGCTTTTTTCAAGAGGCAACTGGACTTCCTTTGTTTTTCCTTGAAGACGTTTCGCTTCTCATCCAAGAAGCTTCTCGGATGAGAAGTGAAAAGTCTTCAAAGAATAACCAGAAAGTCCAGTTGCCTCTTGAAAAAAGCACCTTGGGGGACATTATACTTAACACATCTCTTGCTGAATGTAAGGCCCATGTAACACCTTTACCGCATGAGCTGCACTGGCTTCCAATTTCTTTCAAGGTGCAGTTCAAGGTGCAGGATATTACCTTGAAAGCCCTACATAGCACTGGGCCAGCTTATCTGTGGGGCCACCTTTCCCTAAGGCCATCTACCCAGCCAGCCAGGTTAGCAATGCTGGGCACGCTCCAAGTCCCTTCTCCTAAATATTGCCATGGCAGAGTCACCTTGCAGCGAGATTGGCGGCAAACGAATTTAATAAATAAAAATAATAATCTGATGGGAGGTAGGAAGCATGCTTTTTCTATAGCAGCCCCTGCCTTTTCTATAGCAACCCCTGAAGCTCAGCAGGCCCCTTCCTGCCTAGCCTTCCATAAAGCTTTGAAGATCTGGTTCCCCCCACCCCCCCCCCCAAAGTCCTGGGATAGTGTTAGATTCCTGCACATTAGAAGTTTGTCTTGGCACCAGATTTCTGTTGCTTTTAACGTTTTAATATGTTTAGTTTTAATGTTTATATGTTGTTTTAACTTTTGACTGGGAGAAGCCAAGAGTTGTTTATATGTTGGGTGACTATATAAACGTTTTTTAAAAAATAAAATAAAATGTCCTATTCAGACAGCTGCCTTCATTTCCCTCCCTCCCCCTCCCCAGCAAAACAATAATGCATTTTTCCTTTCAATAAAGTTTAATCTAAATATGTAAATGAGTAAGAAACAGCCTCTTTCAGAAAGGTTTGTCTGATGTGAATCAATCGAGTCTGTTTCAGACATTTCTCTACTGTCTGTCTGATAGAAAATCTGAAAGAAATAAGACAGGACATGATGGATAATCTCTTATTGAGTGTTCAGCTATGATTCTGTTATTGTTTTGTCACCACATAACATTCAAAGGTGCAGCAAAAATCATTAGAGGCAAGGCTAACATCCCAAGTCCTGCAGGCCATGCACGGGGATAACAACTGCAACACGACTTAAATAATCTCATTGTACATACTTGCTTAACAACTGCCCTGTTTAGTGACCATTTGAAGTTACAACAGTGCTGAAAAAGTAACTTCACAACTGCTGTCAAACTTACAATAGCTGCAGCGCCCCTGCAGTTATGTAATTGCCATTCATTAGCTTCACAGCTTACATCCAACAAGCAAAGTAAATGAAGGAGCTGGCAGTAGCATCGCAAAATCATGCAATGTCCCACTTAACAACCATGGGTGATTTGCTTAATGAATAAAGGCAAATATATGGGTCCCAGGATACAATCTGGGTCAGTCATTGGGACCAGAGGTTTAGTCTTCCGAGCTTTGGGATTCGTGCTAGAGCCCCTGATTGGATTTGCTTAATGACCACAGTGGAACTGATGTAAATTTGGTGCGATTACGGGATATTTCCCTTAGTGAAATAGTAATGGAGTTGCTGGTCTCAATTGTGGCTGTTAAATGATTATTTGTAATTAATTTCTCACTGCAAGTTCACAAGTTCAGGGCACCAATTTGACTATTTGCAATAAGCAGATAAATGGCAATGTTTGTGGAATAATTTAGTGCATAGCAAAGAAATATAGTAATTATCAATCTTTCACATTTCATAAGGAGGAAAAAAATGGGAAGATTTATAGTTACAAGTATTTTTCAAAAAACGTTTGGAGTTTATTTTTTGATATCTATATGTATGTGATTGCCCCACACCGTAAATAAACCACAATTTGAAGATTCAATTACTAAATATCAGTGAGGGGTTTCAAATTTTTTTACTACCAGTTCTGTGGGTGTGACTTGGTAGGTGTGGCATGGCTTGGTGGGCGTGGCAGGGGAAGGATACTGTAAAATCTCCATTCCCACCCTACTTCAGGGGAAGGTTACTGCAAAATCCCCATTTCAGCTGGGACTCAGGAGGCAGAGAATAGATGGGGACGGGGCCAGTCAGAAGTGGTATTTACCAGTTCTCCAAACTACTCAAAATTTCCGCTACCAGTTCTCCAGAACTGGTCAGAACCTGCTGAAACCCACCTCTGCTAAAGATGCCCCAAATTTTCCAGCACACCATATGACTCCCGTCAGCCCATTGATACGCACATTGGCAAAACTTTGCATTAAGATTAATTTCACACTCTTTATTTCATTGGCAAGAGAAAAAGGGAAAGTATCAAACAACGCCACTGAAAAGGATTTATGACTTACCCTGTGATTCCCTAACACATAGAAGATGTGACCCAGAAGAACAAGAGAGCATGCTGTTAATCGGTTTAGATCTTCTGCATTTGACATTTTTAGTGTCTCTCGTAAAAAACGTCTACCAAAACAAAAGATTAAAAGAAAGAAAACATTTTGGGCAATGTAAGAGGTTTTAACCAAAAACTGGCCTCTTCCAGCAACTACTTCAGCACCTCATTTGCACAATCTAGACATTCCCGTAGTATCTATAACTCTGCTTAAAAAAAAAAAAATTGAATTTTTTTTTATTTAAAACAAAACCAAACATAAAACCACCATCATTCAATACAATCACAGAAAGTGTGTCGATCGGTTAAAATTCTTTTGTGCATAATCCCATATCCAAAATTACCAATTATTTAATTTCTCTTATTTAACAGTTTTATATATCCCTTTATATTATTATTCTCATTTAGCAATTATTTAACAAAGGCTTAACTCCCATAAGAAAACACTTCATATATTTTATCATTACATTAATTTCATATTTCATACTTCATCTCCATGCTTTATTATCTAATAATTGGATATTAATTTTGGATATGGGATTACACACAAAAGAATTTTAACTGATCGACACACTTTCTGTGATTGTATTGAATGATGGTAGTTTTATGTTTTGTTTTGTTTTAAATAAAAAAAAATTTCCCCCCCAAAAAAACCCTCTGCTTTTTAAAAAAAACTTTTAAGTATCTGAATTACTGTAATTTTATTACACGTCTTCAAATTCGGCACTAATAGTGAAGTAGTGGCCTGGAGGCATTTTGTCCCTGCAATAATGGACTTGGATATCTCAATAGAATTCAGACAGTTTTACTAACGTTTAATTTTTATACTTATTCAATTGCAATTAAGTGAGATGTCTGCCAACCACACAGATTACAAGTAGTCCTCGATTTACAACCGTTTAGTGACCATTTGAAGTTACAAGGGCACTGAAACAAATGACTTTTGACCATTTTTCACGCTTATGACCGTTGCAGCATCCTCATGGTCATGTGGTCAAAATTCAGACACTTGGAAACTGATTCATATCTATGACGCTTACGGTGTGCTGGGCTCGTGTGATCAGCTTTTGCAATCTTCCGATGAGCAAAATCAGTGGGGAAGCCAGATTCACTTAACAACTGGGTTACTAATTAAACAACGGCAATGATTCACTTAACCATTGTGGCCAGGAAGGTCATAAAATGGGACAAAACAGACTTAAGAACTGTCTGGCTTAGCAACAGGAATTTTAGGCTCAGTTGTGGTCATAAATCGAGGACTACCTGTGTGTGCTGAAACCGGGGAGGACCAAGTAAGCTCTCAAGATAAGAGTACAGAAAGAGGGACTTGCTGGCATCCATACATTTAACTTGATCCTGGGAGAGCAGTTTCCTGCTTAGGTAAAGCAGAGTCTTAACAGAGTATTTAGCTGTTATCAAACAGCAGGGCAACTGAGCAGAATCCCAATTCTGACCTGTCTTTTCACTAAAAAGTAGAAATGCTTTGTGACTCACTTGGCTTCATTGTACCTTCCTTGAAAGAAGGAGAACAGCCCTCGGATGTAGAAAGCGGCAGCTCGAAGACAGTGAGAGCTGGAGGGGACAGAGCAGACACACAGGCAAGTAAGCAAGCATTAATGGCCCAAGGGGGGAAATCACGGATTTCAACTGGCCAATTCTATGTTACCAAGGAACCCCTATCAACCGATACGCTATTCAAAACATTTAGGCTTGCTTTCGAACGTTATTCTCAGACTTGCCCACAAAGGTGGTGTATCGTTCTACAAAATATCTATAAAGAACTGGATTTAGGAATATGGATTCCTATTGAATTGATACATGTAAAGAGAAGGCCGGACAAAAATTAGCCAGACAACTATGTATTTGTTGGTTCAATGAGCATCTTTACTGAATCTCTCTCATCAACACATAAATTGCCTACCACAACCTGCAGCTGTCAACATTACATCAAATCCTTCATGGCAACTAAGCTGGCTGAATCTTCACACAGCAGCAGCCTAGACGGGTTTAGGACATTTAGCTTCCTACCCTTACCCTTGGCCACGCCTGCTTCTACCCCAGGCTTCTGCCTCGGCGGATTCTCCTCTAGCTTTTCTCCTTGGCTGATACACCCCTGCCCATTTGCCCTGGCCAGTGGGCCACGGCCTCTCCGTCCCACATGCTTCGTGCGGCCCATTCAACGCCACACTGTTCATCCCGGGCTTTTAGCCTCCCGGGACGGTTAGCCACCAGCCAATCGGCTAGTTGCCAATTCTGGCAGCCAGAAGCCACAGTGCAATCGCAGGAGTGGGGGTTGGGGGAGTTGCTGCTTGTTAAGAGAAGGAAAGGGAGGGGTGGAAGCTCCCCCTGTACCTGATCGTGCCTCCCTGATAACGAATGGGAAGGGAAGAGCAGGGGTGGGGGAGCAGATAGTAATTTGTTTCGGGTGGGTATCCTAGCCTTAAAAAAGAGAGGGAGGAAGGGAAGGGAAGGGAGAGAGAGAGAGAGAGGGAGGGAGGGAGGGAGGGAGGGAGAGAGAGTGAGAGAGAGAGAGAGAGAGAGGGAGGGAGGGAGGGAGGGAGAGAGAAAAGCCCCCAGGCTTCTGGCGGCCAGCATTGGCAACTTGCCAGCCCGGGACGAATGGTGTGGCGTCAAATGGGCGGTGCCGAAGCATGTGGGATGGCCATGGCAAATCAGTGGGGGAGTGTCAGCCAAGGAGAAAAACTAGAGGAAAACCCCCCCGAGGCAAAAGCCTGGCAGAGAAGCAGGCGCAGCCAAGGGTAGGAGCTGAAAAGTCCCATTCCGGCCTAAACAAGGCAGGCTGCTGCCCATGAGCAGCTGATGGGACTAAAGGAAATGTCTCCAGAGTATCCCTTAGCCTCACAGCCCATTTCTAAAAGAGGCATCTGGCCCACTCTTGTTCCTGTTCATCTATTCCTCTTCCTTATTTCCACTGCTTCTTTGCACCTTTTGCCACTGGCATTGCTTTTCTCAAGCTGAACGGGAATAGTAGCCGAAACCTGATTTCTATGCTTCTCTGCCTCTCCAGAGGGATTAGCCTCCACATCTTTTATGCGTATATGGAAAATATAGAATTAAACATTCCATGTGAAACATTTCCATCTCCAAGCAATTCATCTCAAGGGACTGTATGGTGCTGGAAGCAGAAGGGTGTTTTTTTTAAATCATGTTTACCGTTTTATCATTTTGCTGAATGCCTCCCAGAGTCACTTTTTATGGACGGCCATGTACAGTGGGGCAAAAAAGTATTTAGTCAGCCACCAATTGTGCAAGTTCTCCCATTTAAAAAGATGAGAGAGGCCTGTAATTGTCATTATAGGTAGACCTCAACTATGAGAGACAAAATGAGAAAACAAATCCAGACAATCACATTGTCTGATTTGGAAAGAATTTATTTGCAAATTATGGTGGAAAATAAGTATTTGGTCACCTACAAGCAAGCAAGATTTCTGGCTCTCACAGACCTGTAACTTCTTCTTTAAGAGGCTCCTCTGTCCTCCACTCATTACCTGTATTAATGGCACCTGTTTGAACTTGTTATCAGTATAAAAGACACCTGTCCACAACCTCAAACAGTCACACTCAAAACTCCACTATGGTGAAGACCAAAGAGCTGTCAAAGGACACCAGAAACAAAATTGTAGACCTGCACCAGGCTGGGAAGACTGAATCTGCAATAGGCAAGCAGCTTGGTGTGAAGAAATCAATTGTGGGAGCAATAATTAAAAAATGAAAGACATACAAGACCACTGATAATCTCCCTCGATCTGTGGCTCCACGCAAGATCTTACCCCGTGGGGTCAAAATGATCACAAGAACGGTGAGCAAAAATCCCAGAACCACACGGGGGGACCTAGTGAATGACCTGCAGAGAGCTGGGACCAATGTAACAAAGGGTACTTGCGGGACCGCCTTCTGCCACCGATAGCCTCCCACCGACCAGTACGCTCCCACAGAGAGGGACTCCTCAGGGTGCTGTCAGCCAGGCAATGTCGGCTGGCGACCCCCAGGGGGAGGGCCTTCTCTGTGGCAGTTCCTGCCCTCTGGAACGATTTGCCCCCAGAGATACAAAGGATATCGGATCTCCAGGTCTCTCGCCGTGCCCTAAAATATTTTCTTTTCCATCAAGCAGGGCTGGCGTGAACCCCCCCCCCTTTAGTCTTTTTTAGTTTTTTAGCTTTTAAATTGTCAATGGGTTTTAATTTGAATTGTTTTAAATTTGGGCCAAAGTTATGTAATTCTTTTAATAATTTTAAATTTTGTATTGGTTTGTGTTTTAGTTCTAGCTGTGCACCGCCCTGAGTCCATTAGGAGAAGGGTGGTATACAAATTGAATAAATAAATAAATAAATAAAGGCTACCATCAGTAACACACTACGCCGCCAGGGACTCAGATCCTGCAGTGCCAGACGTGTCCCCCTGCTTAAGCCAGTACATGTCCGGGCCCGTCTGAAGTTTGCTAGAGAGCATTTGGATGATCCAGAAGAGGATTGGGAGAATGTCATATGGTCAGATGAAACCAAAGTAGAACTGTTTGGTAGAAATACAACTCGTCATGTTTGGAGGAGAGAGAATGCTGAGTTGCATCCAAAGAACACCATACCTACTGTGAAACATGGGGGTGGCAACATCATGCTTTGGGGCTGTTTCTCTGCAAAGGGACCAGGACGACTGATCCGTGTACAGGAAAGAATGAATGGGGCCATGTATCGTGAGATTTTGAGTGCAAACCTCCTTCCATCAGTAAGGGCATTGAAGATGAAACGTGGCTGGGTCTTTCAGCATGACAATGATCCCAAACACACCGCCCGGGCAACGAAGGAGTGGCTTCATAAGAAGCATTTCAAGGTCCTGGAGTGGCCTAGCCAGTCTCCAGATCTCAACCCCATAGAAAACCTTTGGAGGGAGTTGAAAGTTCGTGTTGCCCAGCAACAGCCCCAAAACATCACTGCTCTAGAGGAGATCTGCATGGAGGAATGGGCCAACATATCAGCAACAGTGTGTGCCAACCTTGTGAAGACTTACAGAAAACGTTTGACCTCTGTCATTGCCAACAAAGGATATATAACAAAGTATTGAGATGAACTTTTGATACTGACCAAATACTTATTTTCCACCATAATTTGCAAATAAATTCTTTCCAAATCAGACAATGTGATTGTCTGGATTTGTTTTCTCATTTTGTCTCTCATAGTTGAGGTCTACCTATGATGTCAATTACAGGCCTCTCTCATCTTTTTAAGTGGGAGAACTTGCATAATTGGTGGCTGACTAAATACTTTTTTGCCCCACTGTAAGTATGGATGGGTTTCAAGGTCTGCAGCCTGATTATGATGTACCGTTTAACACAGACAGCCTCTATGACTTCTCTCTTTATAGAGAGTAGCAATAGCACTTAAGACTTATATACCGCTTTACAGTGCTTTACAGCCCCTCTCTAAATTGTTTACAATTTAGAGGTAAAGAGGTTTACAGTGTCAGCCTCTTGCCTCCAACAATCTGGGTCCTCATTTTACCCACCTCGGAAGGATGGAAGGCTGAGTCAACCTTGAGTCTGGTGGGATTCGAACTGCCAAATTGCAGGCAGCCGGCAGTCAGCAGAAGTAGCCTGTAGTACTGCACTCTAACCACTGCGCCACCTCGGCTCAGAGTAGAATAATGAACGACAATTGTCACACAACCTTCCTGACAAATTACTCATCTCTCTTTTGCTTTAGTGTGCTTTAAAAATCTGAAGCTACCAAGCCCTCAGTTTCAAAGGCCTATTCAGAAAGTCTTCCACCTGGAAGAACTATTGGCAAAAATCTCTCGATTTTAAGTGGACTATGAAGCACCACATTTAAACACAACCTTTCAGACTATGCACTCCATTATTCAGTTTTATTATTTCAGGTTATTCAGGTTTCAATTTTATTCTTTCCTTATTATGCCTTCATACCAGAATGTGCACATCACTTCTGTTCTTTGAAAAGCAGGGTGTAAATGTAATTGATAACTAAATTAAAAAGAAGGGACAGGGATCGAAGTGCAGACTGACAAGGCATACTAAACTGTTTTAAATGTCCACTGGGACTACTCTTAAGTGTTGTTGATCAAATTGCCTATCTAAATTCCTGGCATATAAAAATGTTGTCATGAAACAGAGTGTTCACCAGAGTCCTACAACAGTTAAAAGCACTGCTGGTGCCAAAGAATCATTTTACAAGCCAACTAATATAATGGCTTTATATGGCTTATATAATATTATATTGTAATGGGAATTACTGATTTACCTACCTCACCGGAAAATTGTGGTCTGGGTTTATCCTTTCCAACAAGCTATAAAGCTGGAGAGGAAGAAGATATGAGGAAGTTAGTTAGTTTTTAAATCATGTTTAGAGTTATACAGGACAAAGGCAGTTTGACCCAGTTTGAGTTTATCATGTGAATATTCTCCAAGGCTTCCTGGGCTTAGAGGTTGTTTGAGGAAACCCAAAATTCTGCCTGCCTGAACTTCTAACGATTTCACATGATTCCTATTTTATGCAAATAAAATAAAAACATTCTATTCACAACTAAATTCTAAGTGTGCTAAATTCTGAGCAGCACTAATGCAAATTTGGAATTGTTCTATGAGTTGTAGTTTAGAAGACGACAAAAGTTTTAGAAGACGACGTAAAAAAAAAGATGCTGTTTACAGAACACCTTGAAATGACTTTTTAAAAACATGGATAAAATGAACACTTGCTTTCCCTCTGTTGTGCTCTATATGATGCAGCCAACTGTTCACATTTCATTTAAACCCCAGTACTACAGCTAAGACATTTACCTCTTGATGCCGGTTTCCTTCCCTGATGTAGACGCTTGCCAAGTTTGTCACGATAAAAGCCCACAATTCCTGATGGGTGGTGAGCTACAGTACAGAAAAGACACATACAACCAAAAAAAAAGGTTAAAGCACTTTCCCCTTCTTACAGGAAGTCCTCGACTTACGTCTGGTTGTTTAAAAACCATTTGAAGTGACAACATCCTTGGAAAGGGTGTTTTATAGCCTGTAAAAACACTTCCGGCCATTGTAAAAACATTGTGCTGCCCCCTAATGGTTTCACAAGCACATTTTAAGGACTTGGCAACCAGCTTGCATTTATGACCGGTTGCAGCTTCCCAGGTTCACGTGACTGAGATTTGCTATATAGTCCGTCCCCCCCCCCCCCCCCCCCCGGGTTTCTGGCAAACAATGCCCAGTCAGAATGTATTTGCTTTACAGTTGCAGGATTCAACTTACAACCCTGTGATTCGCTTAATGAATGTCATAAAAACAGTTCAGAAATCAGGCCCGGTCACAAGGATGTCTTAATAACAGAAATAGCACTTAGACTTATATACCGCTTCCAAGGGCTTTTACAGCCCTCTGTAAGTGGTTTACCGAGCCAGCGTATTGCCCCCAATAATCTGGGTCCTCATTTTACCCACCTCAGAAGGATGGATTAGTCAACCTTGAGTTTGGTGAGACTTGAACTGGTGAATTGCAGACAGCTGGCAGGCAGCAGAATTAGCCTGACAGTACTGTATTCTAACCATTGCGCCACGACCGCACAACGACCGCAATGACTTACAACCAAAATTCCAGTCCCCGTTATGGTCTTAAGCCAAAGACTGCCATATGAGCCTTCCGAGTTATTTAATTAATTAAATTATTTGAAGAGGAGCGTTACACCCAGAAGGACAAACCAAAAGAAGAAACCCCATACTGAGCGCCATCTTACCCGAAGTGCTGTGGTAAACTGTGCTTCTGCGTTGTCCATGCAGTTCACAGAAATGCAATACAGCCCCTTCAAAGGAAAACAGCAGGGAAAGTTCAAGGAAAGGTACTTTGGTTTTTAGGAATGAAGACTCGGAGGAGTAAGTTGTACAACAGTGCATGTAGTGTAGATCTATGTTCCCAGTGTAGATCTATGTTCCTAGAGTAGATCTATGTTCCCAGTGTAGATCTATGTTCACGTTCGATTTGCTTTAATAGCTATGAATCTAACTTCTCTTCCCACCTGAGAATGCAGCAGGAATTCCAGAAGACAAATACAGGGAGCCCTTGATTTACAACAGTTCGTTTAGCGACTGTTCGAAGTTACAACAGCACTGAAGAAAGAGACTTGAGACCGTTTTTCACACAACTGTATTAGTATCCACATGGTCATCTGATCAAAATTCAGACACTTGGCAACTGACTCAGGTCGCAGTGTCCCGTGTGCAGTGTGATCACCTTTTGTGGCCTCCTGACAAGCAAAGTCGATGGGGAAAGTCAAATTCACTTAACCGCGTAAGAACGGGAAGCGATTCACTTAACAATTGTGTCAGGAAAAATTGTAAAATGAGGCAAAACGAATGTCTCACTTAGCAACAGAATGTTGGGCTTAATTGTAGTCATAAGTAGTGGACTACCTGTAAACATATTCCTTCTCTTTGTAACATGGCATGAAGCTTTGGAATGATTTTGCCCTGGGTTTTTTCCCCCCACACAAATAATTAATTTAAATCCTTCTGTTGTCAGTCTTGCTCCCCAATAGAGTCAATCGCAGCAATTCATATTCTGCTTCTGCTTCTTTCCATTAGCTTCAATGAACATTCCTGATATTAGATCCAAATTTTCCTATTCCTGGCCTTTTAAACGTATCCTCAACTTGATCTCAAGGTTATCTACGTGTCTTGAGGGAAAACTCAAGCATTTTAGCAATAGAAATGTTGTTTTTATGTTTATACACGGCACAGATAACTGGGGGAAACATCAATCCCTGCTGATGAGGATTAAGGAGGATTTATTCAAGGCCACAGTCATCTATAGATCAGGGGTGGGGAACCATGGCCCTTTTATGACTGGTGGACTTCAACTCCCAGAATTCCTGAGCCAACTGACTCAGGAATTCTGGGAGTTGAAGTCCACCAGTCAGGGCCGGATTTAGATGAAAAGAGGCCCTAGGCTATTCCACTTATGAGGCCCTTTCACCTATAGTGAAACTGTAATTTTAATTTTGCTAACAATTTGAATGTAGGCCCCTCTTGATCTTGAGGCCCTAGGCTGAAGCCTAGTTAGCTTATAGGAAAATCCGGCCCTGCCACCAGTCATAAAAGGGCCATGGTTCCCCATCTCGATCTATAGGAACTGAAAGAATTTCAACAAATTCACAGCAAGGCCAAGCCCTTAGAAAATGGGAGGAATAGCCAAGTTAGACAGCTCTTCCTCCTCTGTTTGTGCAGGGGCAACTGAATTATACAGGTAGCCTTTGACTTACAAGCATTTGTTTAGTGACTGTTCAAAGTTACAATGGCACTGAACAAAGTGACTTACAACCTATCTGTCAACTTGCAAAGCATTCCTGACCTGCTCTCAAGTTGCCATAGGCAGGGGGATGGGGAATCGAGCCTCGCAGTTGCATCGAGGAACTTGCATTTCAGTCAAAACAAAGCACATTCCAGCCGGCAACGTCAAGGTCATCTCCAGGGAGACCCACAGTGACCAGAGGGAGTGACTTCTACAACCCGCAAAATTGCTTCTTTGGGGAATGTGACTGATGACACACCTTGGGGGAAGAGGGAAACAGGGTCAGAGCCAAGGCGAGAATTAAGTGAGGTCAGAGTTGGTTTCACTTGCTGACATGAAACTCCTAATAAATAACTAGATTTCTTTTGAAGCTTGGCTTGAGGCTCATGATTTAATTAGGGCATCGCTTGGAACCCTGATACTATCATCACACATACGACCGTCACAGCATCCCGTGGTCACATGGTCAAAATTCAGGCACTTGGCAATCGACATGTATTTACAACGCTGCAACATTCTGGGATCATGTGATTGCCATTTGGGATCTTTTGACGAGCAAAGCCAATGAGGGAAGCTGCATTTGCTTAACAATGGCATGATTCACTTAACTGCAGGGATTTGCTTAAAGACCATGGCCAAAAAAAAAAAAAAGGCTGTAAAATGGGGTGCGACTCACTTAACAGTTGCCTTGCTTAGCAATGGAAATTCTGGTCCCAGTTGTGACTGTATGTCAAGGACTACCTGTACTTGTTACTAAAGCCTTGTGGGGCTCCATTTATTTGAAAACTGGCAGCTTTTCAATGAATGGAACTCAAGTTTCCTACACTGAATAAAATACTGAATAAAAACCTAGATTTATATGCATCGGGAACTGGGAAGTTATACTCACCAGAAGAGCATGTAGCTGGGCAGCATGATTAGAAAAGAGCCTGGGAGACTGCTGACAGAGCTGGCATACCTGTGAAATCTTGGTGTAAACAGAAGAGAGAACATGACTTAGGTGATTCACGACAATTCTTCTAACTAACCCAGCCTAGACGTGTTCACTTCCTTTCTTTGCCTTCCTCTTTTCTGACACAACCGCTGATTCCAGTTGCACTTTTGGGATTGCTTAATTATTTTGTAAAGTCACTTTTCTGTTGCTGCAATACCCTCCTTCTCTAGTATAAAAAATAGCAGATAAAGCTTCACTTTGGCCGGCTTTCATTTTATTTCACCATGCTTTTCAAATAATCTGCGATGCTGGAAATGCATGACTCTTGGCTGCCCTCAGAATAACAAGAGTTGGAAGGGACCTTGAAGATCTTCTAGTCCAACCCTCTGCTCAGGCAGGAAATCCTATACCATTTCAGACAAATGGCTGTCCAATCTCTTTTTAATAACTTCCAGTATTGGAGCATTCACAACTTCTGGAAGCAAGTCGGTCCACTAGTTAATTGTTCTCACTGTCAGGAAATTCCTCCTTAGTTCTAGGTTGCTTCTCTCCTTGATTAGTTTCCATCCATTGCTTCTTGTCCTACCTTCAGGTGCTTTGGAAAATAGCTTGATTCCCTCTTCTTTGTGGCAGCCCCTGAGATATTGGAACACTGCTATCATGTCACTTCTAGTCCTGATAGCAGCCTTCCAATATTTGAGGGGCTGCCACAAAGAAGAGGGGGGTCAACCTATTCTCCAAAGCACCTGAAGGCAGGATAAAAAAAAACGGATGGAAAGTAATCAAGGAGAGAAGCAATCTGGAACTAAGGAGAAATTTCCTGAGAGTTAGAACAATTGTGGCAATGACATTCCAAGATCTTCCAAGACTATCTTCTTTTCAACAACCACAAAGAATGGTGTGCTCAGTTGAACCTCCATACATCTTTTCCCACCACCATCACCACCACCCACAGTTCCAAAGGACACCGAATGCCCTAAAGCAGTGGTCACCAACTGGTGGTCCATGAGAAAATTTTGGTGGTCTGCAGAAAAATTATTTGCACTTTTTATATTGCACTAAATCAGGGGTCCTCAAACTATGGCCTCTGGGACAGATACGTGCAATGTGTGTTGCTGTAGAGTCTCCCCCTTTGGGGTCTTTTTGTGTGGGGCAGAGGGGGGCAGAAATTCCAACTTGGGGTCTGCTTCAGCCGCCTGGTGCGGGGCTTTGGCCGAAAGCTGGAGGGAAGCGTCACTGGTGGCGAAGAGCCGGAGGACCTCGTTCCAGTGGGACTGCATCATGGCCTGGAACTGGCTGACCATCTCAGCCCACTGAGCCTCCAGGTGCCTGTACCTGGTCTTGCACTCTTGCAGGTCTTCCCTCTGCTTGGAAAGCCTATGCTCGTAGTCCTCAGTGAGATGCTTCTGCTGAGCCTCCTTCTCAGTCAGAGGAGTGGCTGGGAGGGGAGGGGTGAGTAGAGGCTAGGGAGGCACCCCTCGACGTGAGTGACATCGAGTTGGCCATGCCCACCCAGTCACATGACCACCTAGCCACACCCACAAAGCTAGTCATTAGGCCGATCATATTAGTGGTACGTGAGATTTAAAATTATGAATTTAGTGGTCCCTGAGGTCCGAAAGGGTGGTGACCTCTGCCCTACAGCAGTGCTTCTCAACCATGGCTGGCTGGGGAATTCTGGGAGTTGAAGTCCACAGGCCTTAAAATGGCCAAGGCTGAGAAACCCCGCCCCTAAAGCCATTTTCTTTACCTCTTGCAGGGCTGTAGCTTTGTGTCCTGTGACTAGCCGGCACATGATGATATGTTCCAACAAGATGACTTGGAAAGATGATAAGATAGGGCTGCAATCAAGCACTGGAAGGAAAGAAATGATGCAGTTTAGGGAAAAAAGAGAAAAGGAACAGCTCTTCATTTGGTGGAATGGCCATGCTGAATGTCCTCGACTTAAGACCAGTTGCTTAACGACTGTTCCAAGTGATGATGGACCCCCCTCAAAAAGTACTTACAACCTGGTTCTGAAGTTCTGACATCCAATCTCCCCCTTCTCACACACACACATAATTATGTGACCAATTTTGGGTACTCAGCAACTGGCCTAAATTTGTGGCCATTTGCAGTGTTCCGTGGTCGCGTGACCGCTATTTATGACTTTTTTAAAACCAAAAAAACAGCCCTTTTACTTCTGGTGTTTGCTTAAGAAGCACCACAAAAAGGGTTGTAAAATCAGGGTCGGTGAATGTGATGACCCGCTTAATGACTGTTGTGACTTATAACCATAATGGGCAGTCTCCATTACGGTTATTAAGTCAAGAACTACGTTTAATTGTTTTTCTGAAGCAGGGAGTAATATTTTAGGTTATAAAAGCAACTGCTCAAAAATCTTGGGAGACATGAGGCATTTTAATAAAGCTCAGGCTGGCAAAAACACTCTCTATCCTATTCTTTCCTCAGTGCGGAGAAAAGAAATATGCCAAAAAATTCCCATCATAAGAATCGGGCGATTCTTTCCGGTACTGCTAAATTGAAATGCAAAGTGATATTGGTTCCTTTCCTTAAGTTCAGAAAAGATCTTGTCTGACTATGCAACTCTGAATGAGCCAAAATCAAGAACAGGGTTTTCTGGTGCTGAGGAAGGGACCTATCACTGGCCCTGAAAAAGGACACTGGTGCCCCCAAAAAGGCAACAATAAATGAAAAAAGGGAGAACAGAGAGAAATGGAGCATGCAAATTGGGCATTCAAGAACAGAATCCGTGTGAAGACACACACCAAAGAAGTTTACTCTGCTCACTTTTGAGTTTCTCCAGCTGCATCAGGGCTTTGTCGGTGTATTTCTGGGCCTTCTCCAAATATCCAGCCTGCATCGAATGCATCACAGTCACCTGGCAAAAAAAGAAAGAAAGAAACCATACCGCATTTGTTTGGCAGATCATTTCGCAACCCTGAAACAAATTGCTTCAATGTTCTCCCTGCTGCAAATTAACATGACTCGTTTTACATGAAATACAAAGACAGGACACAGTTCTAAATGAGAAAACATGCAGGTAGCAACACTGTGAACGCCCATGCTGACACGCCACCTGTGCAATTAAAACAGGCACGTTCATCTCCCTCACAACAGGGCACGTGGCACTGCCAAATTGCCCTCGTTGAGAAAGCCTTCCCGCCAATGATGCAATTAATGTACACACACACAAAAAAAAATACAGAAAGTCTATGCCTTTAGTTTCTAATATTGCAGGATGCCTTTTGTTAAGAAAACAAAACAAAACTTTTATCGAATTTCAAAAGAACAATAGGAGGAGGAAGAGATGGTTTAAATGGTTTAAAAAGGAAAAAAAAGAGGAAAGCAGGAAAAACACAGAATTGGATGGTGCAGAGAGAAAACCAAAAATTATTTCCAACTCTCTAATACAGATACAAGCATAAAATACAAGTAGATTAAACCACATCACAAAATATTTCTGTGGTTAAAAACAGTTCTACTCATCAAATCCCAAGGTTATATTTTCTTTTCTTTCAGTTTCTTTCAGTTTCTCTGCTTAAATCTGAAATTTGTTTTCAAACCATTATTTCAGAATTCCTGACATCTAAAGGTTAGACCAGAGGTCTTCAAACTTGGCAGCTTTAAGACTTGTAGACTTCAACTCCCAGAATTCTCCAGCCAGCTTTGCTGGAGAATTCTGCAAATTCTGCAAAGCTGGCTGGAGAATTCTGGGAGTTGAAGTCCACAAGTCTTAAAGCTGCTAAGTTTGAAGACCTCTGGGTTAAACCATTAGATCATCTAACCCAGGGGTGTCCAATCTTGGCAACTTTAAGACTTATGAACTTCAACTTCCAGAATACTGGCTGGCTGGGGAATTCTGGGATTTGCAGTCCTCAAGTTTTAAAGTTGCCACAGTTGGACACCCCCAATCAAGCCAATGCTGACAATACCTGATTATAACAACACCCCAAAGTCTCCAGAAACCCCTCTGCTACTAGACATTCTGCTAGCTGAAAGTCCAGGGACAAAACTGGGACATTTCTGCAAGCAAAGAAAGGACTCCATCAATGAGCTATGATGCTGTCGGGAAACCTTGCCATCTTCTGAGCCCATTCAGCTCAGTATTGTCTATTAACATGAATGGTGGCTTTCCAAAGCCACATATGGAGGTCTTTCTTACCACCTGCTGCCTAGAAATGTTGGTAATTAAACAAGGCATCGGTTCTTTGGAATATATTGTAAACAAAAACAAAAATCACCCAGAGGCAATTTAAAGGAAAGCCAGTAATGCATCCCCAACCTGCTAGCTACTGCAATTATAAATTGGGATACTAGGAGCACTGTGGCTCACACGGTTAGGACACTGGATTGGAAGCTAGCAGGCCTGGTGTTTGAGACCCAAGTGCTGCTGTGGGGCAGGGTGAGTTCCCGTCCTTTGCTCCAGCTCCTGCTGGGGACATGAATGAAGCCCCCTAAGTGGGTGTCTCCTGGGCAACTGTAATATCACCGACTCATCCTTTCAACCCAAAAAGGATATTGCCATGATGATGTTAAAGGAGAAATAGAGAGCACCTTCTTTATGTGCAAAAGACTACTTCCTGGGCCCCTGATCCTAGAAAGCCCCTGTTGGAAGGATCCCTGAAGCCAAGTTTGTACAACTTATTTTGGCAACATGGGATGCAGCATCTCACCAGGTAAACCAGCACACACATGTGCTCCTTGGGCAGCCAATGGAAGAGGTCTGCAGGGTTGCTGGGAAGGATCTCATCGTCATGAAGGGTTGAGATGGTCTGGATGCACTGCTGCAGCTGCTTTAGACATGGCTTGACACTCTTCACCTGAGGAAAGGAGAAGCTGCCTCAACAAAATCAAACCAAACATGAGACCCAAATCAAAGGCACCCTACATCCAAGGTCAACCACACATTATCTTGATGGCTGTTGTCCTCTTCTCAGTTCATCTTCTGTAAAGATAGAACATTAAAGACCTCTGAAGGTTCCTGTCAAGCTTACATCCATTTTTTTAATCTTCTTCTTTAAGAGAGGAGGTGGCACAGTGGTTAAGAGTGCAGTACTGCAAGCTGCTTCAGCTGACTGCTAGCTGCAGTTCGGCAGTTCACATCTCACCGGCTCAAGGTTGACTCAGCCTTCCATCCTCCCAAGGTGGGTAAAATGAGGACCCAGATTGTTGCGGACAATAGGCTGACTCTGTAAACCAGTTAGAGAGGGCTGTAAAAGCACTATAAAGCGGTGTATAAGTCTAAGTGCTATTGCTATTGTTCCTTCATATGTTTGCTCTGCCATTCTATTCTAGGGTAGTCCTTGATGTATGACTTGTCGTTTTACAACTGTTCAGAGTTATGACAGCCTCGTAACAGGTGCTTTATGGCCCATAAAGTACTTCCAGCCCTTATAAAAGGTGTCCCCGTAGCAATCAAGTGATCGCATTTTGAGTGCTTGGCAACCTGCTTACCTTTATGATCGGTTGCAGCATCCTGCGGTCACATGACACTGATTTGCGACCTTTTTTTTTTGCTGGTTTCCAGCAAAAAACACCCACCAGGAATAATGGGTTCACTTAACAACCGTATCTTTCATTTGTTTAGTGACTGCTGTGAAAAAGGTCAAAAATAAAAAAAGGTCCAGTCACACTGGTGCCTCGATTTACAAATTGTAACGAGTGACAATCAGACTTCCAGGCCCAATAATGATTGTGACTCATTTCCTTCATGACTACAGTGGTCACATTACAACCACCACAAAAAAGGATCCTAAAGTTGGATTGATCGCATGGGGGGGGGGATCCGCTTTACACCCGTCAGCGACTTAGGACTGTAAAGGAGAGGCTGTTCAGTCGTAATGGAGCATCTGGTCTTATGTTGTGAGCAACAACATTTTGTCATGCGAGATCACCTGAGCTGCTTTTCAACTCACCTGACCAGCGTCCAGGTAATGCGTCACCTGCAGTACCAAGAAGAAGACCCGCAATGACTCTTTCTGGATGGGATTCCCTTGCCAGTTCTCAACAATCTGCCCACAAAGCGTCAGCAGCGGGTGCACCTCCTGCAGTTTCCTCTCCATGAGGAGCAGCTGTGTAGAAGGAAGGAAGGAAGAAGAAAAGAAACGACAGAAGTTTCAGAACACACGATAAGTGCCTCTGTTCCAGGTTCAGGCTTCCTTAGTCTTGGATTGATCTCCTCAAATAAAGAAGGAAAACAAAAAAAAGTAGTTCGGTAATCCTCGATTTAGGACCACAGCTGAGCCCAAAATTTCTGTTACTAAGTGAGTTTTGCTCTGTTTTACAACCTTTCTTGCCACATACTTGTGAAGTGAATCATTACAGTTGTTAAGTTAGTAACGTGGTTGTTAAGTGCCTGGTGGCTCAGCAGACTGATAGCATTGTGATTAACACCAGCTGTCTGCAATTACTGTAAATTTGAATCTCACCAGGCTCAAGGTTGACTCAGCCTTCCATCCTTTTTAAGATAGGTAAATTGAGGACCCAGTTTGTGGGGGCAATAAGCTGACTTTGTATAAATATACAAAAGGATGAAGGCTATTGCTTAACGCATTGTAAGCCGCCCTGAGTCTCCGGAGAAGCCCAATTAGAACAGGAATAAGTAAAAATTCAACTACAAGTTCAAAGAAGGTTTTTTCTCTCAGTGGTTCTCCTGTATGTGCGACACCAATTTACATTACAATTTATACCTTCCATATAAATCTTTTTTTTTTTTTTTAAGTGAATCTGGCTTCCCCACTGACTTTGCTCGTCAGAAGGTCACAAAAGTTGATCCCAGGACTCTGGGACATTGCAACTGTCATAAATGTGAATTAGTTGCCAAGCTCCCGAATTTTGATCATGTGACCATGGAGATGCTGCAACAGTTGCCAGTGTGAGGAATGGTCATTAATCACTTTTTTCAGTGCCGTTGTAACTCTGAATGCTCACTAAACAAATGGCTGTAAGTTGAGGACTACCTGTACTAAACGTGGGAAGGAGAGTTATTTCTAAATCCTCAGTTTTGTGATTAACTTTGCTTCTCATCATTTCAAGATAATCCCAAAGAACATACAAAAAATGAAGACATCAAAAATAAAATTAAGGTAGCCCAATTAGAACAGGAATAAGTAAAAATTCAACTACAAATTCAAAGAAGGTTTTTTCTCTCAGTGGTTCTCCTGTATGTGCGACACCAATTTACATTACAATTTATACCTTCCATGCCAATCGCTTGGAACTGATTTATGCACACAATACTAGGTATTATACACATTTCAGATCTTTAAATGACACTTTCTAACACCGATTCGGTCCTTGGGGACTATCTCTCTTATTCTCAGGATCGTTTAAGATATGAGAAGACAATTTACACATTGTTGTGGCTTCTGGCAATGTCTCTGATTGCGCTGTTAAAAACACACAGCACAGTTGCTCTAAACCAGCAGTGTGATTTCCCATCATTCTGGAGCAAAATGTATATAAACCATAACTTAAGTCTTCAGGTAGTCTAGAAAATTTTAAATATGACCCAACCACCCCCCCAAAAAAATGTAAAAAAAAAAACCAAGAAAAAATATTTTCAAAATTATAGGCAAGATGGAGTCCCACACATTTTATCCCATTACACCATAGTCACTGGTTCTCTAAAGCAATTAAATGCAGCCTCTAGTCACCCCAAAACTGCCCACCCTTTGTTTAAGAGATGCAAGCCTAATTAATCCACACAATATATAATTTGCTAAATTAATCTGAGATCGGCTTAGTTCAGCACTACTGGTAAAAATGGCAGCAACAAGCAGAAGTGTAATTATCACCTTCCTAAATCCTAATTTCATGGAATTTTAATTATTCCAATCCAAAAGACAAATTTACTTTTTTATGGTTGCCTCTCTTAAGTCTCTCTATAGCATTTTAAAAGTTTTCAAGAAGTTTCCACATGGATTTTGAATTACACCAAACATTAAAACATAGGTGGGGTAGTCACACATTTGAAATGATGTGTGAGTTAGCAAAATGCTATTGCTCGTTTCAACAGATGTCTATCAATAGTCTAGACCAGGGGTCTCCAACCTTGGCAACTTTAAGCCTGGAGGATTTCAACTCCTAGAATTCCCCAGCCAGCTTTGCTTTGCTGGCTGAGGGATTCTGGGAGTTGAAGTCTTCCAGGCTTAAAGTTGCCAAGGTTGGAGACCCTTGGTCTAGACCAGTGTTTCTCAACTTCAGCAACTTTAAAATATGTAGATATCAACTTCCAGAATTCCCCAGCCAGCAAACCAACTAGAGGATTCTGGGAGTTGACAAATCCACAAATCTTAAAGTTGTCAAGTTTGAGAAACACTGCTCTACAAGACCAAAATCTATTTATTATTCATTGCTTCTATATCTGAATAAGAAAAACAAACCGAGACTGTAGATTTTAAAGTAATATATAAGTAAAATATTATATTGTCTAAGCCCCAGTAAACTTACCATGCCTTTGCTTAATAGAAACAGTGCTCTGAAAAAGAAAGGAAAGTTATTAAGATTCCAACACTGTAGAGATATCCCAGAAATACAATGTATTCTCACCCTAACCCTAAAACTGCATCAAAAATATTTCAGAAAAAAATGAAACTGTAACTTTTCGTGATTAGTTTGTTGTTATTATAGAAATGGCTAAGTTTCTGATTATATGAAACTAAAAAGTTGAGACTGTAACTGTACTTTGTAACTACTGCACCAAAAAAAAGGTGGAGGTCACTGCTTTTCTTCTTTTCCCTTTCCTTCACATCTTTTCCCCCTTTTTTGTATTGTCTTTACTTTCATGTGTATTTTTACATTCAATAAAATCTTTTAAAAATATTGCAATCTGCAAAAAAGTACAGAATATATTTCATAACTCTGTCTGTTCACTTTCTCCCTGTGAATCAAAAAAGTCACCCACCTTGTATATTCTGATCCTACCACTCGAGCATATTCTGCTCCAACTCCCAAAAGGTCGCAGGCGGAGACCAAATCTTTTTCAAGCGTATGAAGTTGCTAATGAGGAATACACAGAGAAACACACGTAAGCTTGAAACAGCTCTGAAACAGTCCAGCCATCCATTTATTTTGATTCTGAGAATCAGCTGGGCTACTGATTACGACACCAGATTAGAAACTAGGAGACGATGCATTAAAAGCCAGCTGCGTGACCTTGGCCCAGTCACTCTCTCTCAATCCAACTCACCACCCCATAGGATTGTCTATGGTGATTCTCGGTCATCCAGGTCATGATTGTCCCAAAGGGGCTTTTTTCAAAAAGCAACTGGACTTCCTTTGTTTTTCCTTGGAGACATTTTGCTTTTCGTCCAAGAAATGAAGAAGCTTCTTAGATGAGAAGAGAAATGTCTTCAAGGAAAAACAAAGAAAGTCCAGTTGCTTTTTGGAAAAAAACACTTTTGGGACACTCCATAGGATTGTTGTTGTGAGGAAAATAGGAGAAGGAAGGTGTACTGGATATGTTCACTGCCTTTATTTTCAATTTTCAAACAAGACTTTCCAAGCTCAAAATTTTTTAAGGTTCTGCAAACATCTAAGGTGATGCTGATGCCACAAACCCATTTATTTTCCATTAAGCATTGGTACCACATAGTAAAAAGTCACTAATGTAACTGACCTCTTCAAGAATGCCCCACTTACATTTTTCTCATAGAACAAAGTCTGTAAGGTGGGCGGATGTTAAGACAGGCAGCGCTGTAATAAAACTTCCTCCCCTTTTGTCTGTGTGCTGACACGACGTACATGGACAAACAGGTTGGGGGTTTGGTTGCAATGCTGCAACCATGACTTTGTTTCTTTTGTCCCACTGTGAGGGTGCCATTACTGCTTCAATACTTAGAACTGAGCTTATGAACCACACATCCGCTCACTTATAAAACTTTGTACCAAAGGACAAGTACCCCAGGTTACAAAACTCTTTCCTAAGGATAAATTCAGGTCTCCGTGTTATCTTCTTTCCGAAGTTAAAAGAAGATGTGGCTAGGCATTTGTGGAGCAAACTCTTTTTTAAATTCTCTTTTGCTGCTCCCCCCCCCTCCATTCTATTCATAATCCTGCCACTGAATCTTTTTTCACTTTTTGTATTTATTATTTTTAAACAGTGCTGGATTTTTTGCGCCTTTCTTGAAGGCTTTATTACTTTATTACAAACAACTTTGGGCTCCCCTGGAAGGAGGAATGCTACAGAAATAAAAGCAATAATAGTAATTTACACAGCTGAGTGCAGCCCTGCTTGCTTTACCTCCTGCTGTTCAATGGGCAGATACTCGGGGTTGTTTTGTCTCTTCCACAAGGACACTCTGACAGTGATAACTTCAACCCTGCAGCTTTTAATGCAGCAGAATTCTCTCTTATGTGTTTCCCTCTCAGATGTAGGTTCTGTAGAATCTCCCCAAACTCTACGCTTTCTTTCATACAGGTAGTTCTGCGACCATTCGAAGTTACAACAGGACTGAACAAATGGTAGTTACATCCAGTCCTCAAAGTTACAGCCACTGCAGCGTCTGCACGGTCCGATCATCAAAATTTGGATGACTGGCAAATCTGTCCAGATTTTCAACCACAGAATGAACTAGCGGTTCCCGTGGCAGGGTGCATCTCATCACCCACAGGAAAAAGAAGGTAATGAAGGTCAGCAGTGGGGGACAACAGGTGTGTGTATATATGTGTGGCAATGGACAGCAGGATGGCCAAAAAAGCAGTGATGGGGAAAGATAAGTGGGTGAGGGTAGTTGAAGCAGGGGCCAGCACAGCAGGGTAGAAGTGCGAGGTCCTCACCCAGAGACTGCAACCCAGGACTACCATTAACTGCTGTCACTAAATAGTGGAATCGCACGATGTTTCACCTAATAACCACTTCATTTAGTGATGGAAATTCAAGTTCCAAGTAGATTTGTTAAGTGAGGTCTAACTATAATTTAAACCATTTGAGAATAGTGAAACTGAGCTTACCGCAAGCTGAAAAAGAAGGCGACAGTGCCAGTAAGGAGTCTGTTGTGAAATCTGGATGGCTTTACGCAGCAGTGGCTTTGCTGTGTCAACAGAATTCTGAAAAGTACAGACAATAAAAATCAAATTATCATACAGAGATGGAGGAGGAGGGCTCAAACACAAAATCAATTGGGAAAAAGTCACGCTTCGTAAAGCAAGTGGAATACCATTCTATTAATTGGAGCGTGCACAATTTTGCAGAAATGACACATCACTTTTTCCAAAAACACATTTTTGCAAATATATTTGTGAAAAAGCTGTGTGAAGAGGTACAAAGATCAGGAGCAAAGCCAGCAAAGGGATTCGGTCCATGGTAACTGCATTCCAGACAGATCCACTGGGCAGACCTCAGACCTTTCTAGAGGAGGACAGTCAAAATAGATGGCTGGAAATGCTATGAGAGATATTGTTCTGACCTAGGCTTCCCCAGCAGCACAAAGCTGAGTCCTTGTCCTGATAAACCACAGTCTTTCAAGATAGTTCACAATTACCGACCTTTATCAGGATTGGACAGTGCCAGACTGATATCATTCAGACGCCGCAATACTTGGCAAGAATGCAGTAATGAACTAATTGTCTCCTGCAAACTCCACTCCCCTTTCGCTCCTCTTTTATTCCCTCTGGGAGGGGCCATTCATCATCCACCTGTGGCCTTACTCCCAAGTTGAACCTTGTTCTTTAGTTGTTCCCTTCATCTGGCAACTCTGTGCATGCACACACTGGGAACAGGCTCCAGCTGTTCGCCTGCCTCACTGATGTCTGACTCCGAAGGCAGCCATTAACTGGCATACAGCCCTGGCCCCCTCTCTGCCTCTGATGCAGAGCACTTGTCAGAGCCTTCCCCAGACTCCAGGACTGGCCCATATTCCTCACCAACCTCCTCACTGTACGAATCTGCTGCCAGATCCACCGGCAGGCCACAACAGATATTCTGCATTCACCCAAAATGACATCTGCTTCTATGACCTAACACCCAGAAGCTCCCCAAAAGGGGACCAAGATGCTAACTCTTTGTTAGGAGTTAGGAGCCTGGTGGGACAGTGGTTAGAATGCAGTATTGCAGGCTAACTCTGCCCACAGTCAGGAGTTTGATCCTGATGTGCTCAAGCCTTCCATCCTTCTGAGGTTGGTAAAATGAGGACTTTGATTGTTGTGGGCAATATGCTGACATTGTAAACCACCCAGAGAGTGCTGTAAAAGCACTATAAGGATGGTATATAAATTGCTGTTGCTATTGATTGCATCATCTTAAATATCAAAATAATAAAACATAATCAAACTGAACAAACGCTCAGTTCCTTTTAATGGAAGTGCTATTGACATGCAAATAAGTCAGGTAACAAAGATGAATAGTGTCTTAGCTCTTTTCTATGTTGTATGGAAGAAAGTCATATATCTTTTGTGTATCAAACCCATTAAATATTAGCATTTAAAGAACTGCAGAGGAAAGATACTCTTCTTACCTCTTGACAGTACAACTCTGACAGGAGGCTGGCAGCTTCAAATTTGACATCCTCAAACTGCGGAATCTGGTAGTGTCCAAGTTAAGCTAATAATACTAACAATAGATATTTTTAGTTGGAAAAGATCCAATGCTGTTTAATGTAGGATATGGCAAGCACTGAAACTATACTCTCTATAACTTCTCAGTGCTCCCGTCTGTAATGTATTTAATTGACCACCCCCTTTCCAGCCTGCTTGAATAATTTCAGCAAAGTTAGGCCCCAATATTTTTAAATCAGGGGTCCCCAACCCCTGGGCCTCAGCCCACTACAGGCCTTGAGCCCTTCAGAACCAGGCTGCAGAAGTGATGGGCGAACACGTCTGTGCGCATCTCCACTTGCACGAGTGGTGGGAAATCAGGCCAAGTTTGGTGTTAACTTTCAAAACAACCTACAGAAATTTAATTGAGAATTGATAATTCCAGTTTTCATGAGATCAGAAAAAAGGATACTTGTTGTGATATCAGCCACTGTAAAAAGAAGAGAGAGAAAAAATTAGCAATTCCTGAAATCCCCTCCCTGTGGAATTTATAGCAATCTCTAAAGGGAACAGTTAATGATGCATTTCTGAAACGCAGCAAATGAACAAATAATTTCTATTATGGTTTATAGCCAATCAAGACACAGTGAAGTGTCAGCACTGCACTGTCCTTGCCCTTCTTGCCAAACTGAACTCTTCCTGTAGACTCAAAACTTAGAAAAGACCATTTTTGTTTATCCAGACTTTACCCTCACAATCCTCTTGAAATGCTTATTCTTTTATTCCTTTAAATAGTCACTTTTCAGTTTTCCTGTACCTCCTGAAGTTCACTCTTAAAATGTTGTATCTGTTTAAGGGGCCATAAGCTCAGTGGAAGCCCCAATATTCAAATTCTGGAAGCTCCCAAGTTGGATGGACAGGCTTGACTGAGAAAGATCATTGCTAATCAGTGTAAACTATGAATGGGAAGTTAGCTGGCAGGCAGATACACATGTATTCATCTGGATTTTCGCCTTGTTTTCTCTTTTCCACCTGATTGCTGGGAAACAACTAAGAGACTGGAAGGTGGGAATATTGCTACAAACTGCTCTTGGAGGAGAGGCTATCAGCTTTCACTGATATTTCTGAGACTGTGAACACTGATTCTGCCTACTGCTGGCACATGCCACCTTGGGTGATTATCCACAAGGAAAGGCATCCCAAAGGGATCCCTTTCCAATGTTAGTTTACAATGCAAGACGAAGGTCTGATTTCATTGCAGGCAGTCCTCGACTTATGACCACAATTGAGCCCAACATTTCTGTTAAGTGAGACATTTGTTAAGTGAGTTTTGTCCCATTTTACGACCTTTCTTGCTATAGTTGTTAAGTGAATCAGTTGATAAGTTGGTAACATGGTTAAGTGAATCTGGTTTCCCCATTGATTTTCCTTGTCAAGAGGTCGCAAAATCATCTTGAGACACAGCAACAGTCATAAGTATGTGTCAGTTGCCAAGCCGACAAGCTGACATGGGGGATGCTACAAAAGTCATGTGAAAAATGGTCACTAGTCACTTTTTTCAATGCCATTGTAACTTTGAATGGTCACTAAATGAACTGTTGTAAGTCGAGGACTACCTGTATAAACAAAGTTCCTGTGTTCCTACTTATTTTCCCTCTTTTATTCCTAGAAAAGATGTTTTCTTTTTCTATTCAACTCCATTCTTCTCTTATTTCAAATGTCAGGATTTAAGAGCTGTGCATTCTCCTCCACCAGACTTTTTGAAGAAGCTCCTCCCTTCTTTGCTAATACCTAGAAATAATTTATTTTAGCTATAAACTCTTTTTTTGTTTATTGTACAACTGCCTTAAAAATCTATCCAGTTATGTAGAGAAAAAAATGAAAAAAAAATGATGTACCTCAAACTCATTCATTTATAACAATGTAGCAGTATGTGACACAATAGAGAGAACTGTATTCGTGCTTAGGCTTCTGCAAGTTTATGTGCAAAAGCAGGAAACACTAAGCCAGATTCCTTTTGAACTATCTTGCCCAACCTGATATCTTCCAGATGTGCTGGTTTACAGTCAACATCACTCCCAATTAAAATATGTCACTTTTGTTACTTGAATTCTCAAAGCCTCTTAATAGCTCAAACGCAGCACCAGGAAAAGTTTAGGAGTAACATCTACAACAGTAACATAGTTGTCCTTCTATGGACAAGGAGGAGAAAGGAGTGCTAAATATACAACCTTGCACTCCTGATCAAAAGGCAAGATAAAAATCTAATGAGAAAAGAAATATTTTTAAAGTCGGGGGCAGGGATGAAAAGCAAAACAGAATCAAAACACGAATGGAGCTAGTATTTTCATCTGCAGGCTGGAAGACCCAGATGAAGAGGATAAAAAATGCTACAATGGGCACCCGATGAGCTTCAGGAGAAACTACTGCAGACTGCGGGGCCACCACTGAGAAGGCCCAGCACGTCTGGACAGCAGCAGTTTCGACTCTAAGAATGGCTTGTACAGTTAGAACAGACCTTGGAGGTCTTCTAGTCCAATCCCTACTCAGGCAGGAGACCCTATATTATTTTAAGACATTTAAGTGGATGTCCAGTCTCTTCTTAAAAACCTCCATTGATGGACCACCCACAATGTCTGAAGGCAAGTCATTCCACCGATTAATAGTTCTGTCAGGAAACTGGCACAAGTCTGTCTACCTGGGTATACAAAGAAGTCCTCGACTTAACAACACTGTTCGAAGTTACAACATTCAAAGGTACAATCTTCGACCGTGAGGTGCTTCTGTGACTTATGGCCATTATTCACCCTTATGACCACTGCAGCATCTCCATGGACATGCGATCAAAGTTCAGGCGCTTGGGCCACCGACTCATATTGATGACCCTTGCATGATCCAACTTTTGCGACCTTCCGGTGAGCAAAGTCAATGGGGGAAGCCAGATTCACTTAACAACAACAACACCCCTCCTGTTTATTAAATTGACAAATGAAGTGGTTCACTTAACAAAACGTGGCAAGAAGGGTTGATAAAACTCACTTAACACACATCTTGCTTAGCAACCGAAATTTGGGGGGAGGCGCCACTTGTAAAATACCTGTGTTTATAGAATGTTTATAGAATAACAGAGTTGGAAGGGACCTTGGAGGTCTTCTAGTCCAACCCCCTGCCCAGGTAGGAAACCTTACACCACTTCAGACAAATGGTTATCCAACATCATCTTAAAAACTTCCAGTGTTGGAGCATTCACAACTTCTGGAGGCAAGTTGTTCCACTGATTAATTGTTCTAACTGTCAGGAAATTTCTCCTTACATCTAAGTTGCTTCTCTCCTTGATTAGTTTCCACCCATTGCTTCTTGTCCTGCCCTCAGGTGCTTTGGAGAATAGCTTGACTCCCTCTTCTTTGTGGCAGCCCCTGAGATACTGGAACACTGCTATCATGTCTCCCCTAGTCCTTCTTTTCATTAAACTAGACATACCCAGTTCCTGCAACCGTTCTTCATATGTTTTAGAAAGTTTTTCCCTGTCTGGGGCCACACATATCCAAGGCACCACGTGTACACAAGCAGGGAGGTCCTCCTTCCTTCCTTCCCTCCCTCCCTCCCTGGGCCAATCTGAGGGGGTCACCCCGCAATCCCTTCCACGTCACCCCCGGGGACGCACCGCTTTCTCGAGGTGCCCGCGGGCCTGCTCTCCGTTGCGCGTGTGGTGGTAGAGGACGGAGCCGAGCTGGAGGTGGGTGCGGGCTTCGACCCGAGCGGGGGGCTTGCGGGGCAAGACGGCCTGGAGGCAGTGGACGCAGAGCCGCACCTTGGGCGGGCTAGAGGTGCGGAAGTGCTCGGCCAAGCCCAGCAGCGCCACGTACCACGACTCGGAGGCCCCCGAAGACACCGGAGCGCCGCCGGCCCCGGACGCGGAGGACGCCGACGACGAGGAACCGGCGGAGCCTCCTCCTCCTCCTCCTCCTCCTGCTGCTGCCGTGGCCTCAACCCCGCCGGAGACCGCCGCCCCCGAGCCGGGCCCGGCGCTCCCTCCCACCGCGGGCTGAGGCGGTCCTGCTACGGACGAGGCGGCTGAAGCTACCGCCGCCGCCGCCGCCGCTGCTGCTCCCACGGCTACGGAGGACGACGAAGGGGTGGAGGAAGAGGCCGGAGCCGTCGTGGTGGTGGCAGCGGTGGAGGAGGAGGAAGCCTGCGCTCCGCCCCCGTTGCCCGCCGTCTCCGTCGAGCCGCCCGACGCCCCGACGGCGGCCATCTTGGCTTGGCCTCCGTAAGGACCGGGAGGTCGCTGCGCGGCGGACTGGAGAGACTCATTGCGCAGGCGCGGGAGACGCAACGCTTGATGGGAAAGCGAGTCCTTGGAAACGGCGGTGGCTTATAGCATCCCTCCCATCCATCCATCCCGCGTGGAGAAATTGAGTTGGGAGAGACAAAGAATTCTTCTCTCTAAATCTAATCCCCCCGCTTCTCCCTTTCGGGTCAGGAAACAGGTCCTTCCTGTTACGAGAGGTTTAATCTCATCCCCTCCGCTTTCTAGATCTTCCGCTGAAAAAAATAATGTGCAAAAAATAATGTGCAATAATACAGCAAAACAAAACTTACACTTTGCACCGCCTTGGGATGCGTGCAGTGGTGGGATTCAGCCAGTTCGCACCACTTCGGGAGAACCGGTTGTTAACTTTCTGAGCAGTTTGGCAAACTGGTTGTTGGAAGAAATCATCAGGGCAGAGAACCGGTTGTTAAATTACTTGAATCCCACCCCTGGATGCGTGTCCACCTCCATCCACCAGTCCTTATTTCCCAAAAGTTGTGTTTGCGGATTAATTAATTTTTTTTAAAAAAAAGCGCGTAGCTTATTTTTAGAATGTTAGCAAAGAATGAAGAGATCGGTCGCTTATTCGCTTTATAATTGCCTGCATTTTATTAAAAGTTTTTTTTTTTTTTTAAAGCTGCCAAGTTTGAAGACCTCTGGTCTAACCTTTAGGTGTCAGGAATTCTGAAATTGTGGTTTGGAAACAAATTTCGGATTTAAGCAGAGAAACTGAAAGAAATGAAAATGTAACCTTGGGATTTGATGAGTAGAACTGTTTTTAACCACAGAAATATTTTGTGATATGGTTTAATCTACTTGCATTTGGATCTTGGATTGAAGTGATGTTTTTCATCATAGGTGTCATTTCGAAAGCAGTCTCCTGAAAGTGTGGGGGAGGGGAACGGACACATTTCAAAACAAAAATGTGACATCCTTTAATAATAGTGGCCTTTAACTCCTTTTGCATCATGGGAAATATAGTTCCCCCGTAGTCAAGATCAGAATAACTCAGAGGAAGTTTTGCAGCAGGTAACCAAGTCTAGTGAGAACCGCTATTTTTTTTCCTTCACTGTTGCCACAGAACGCCTGAGGGGAGTATTTCAGAATAGAGCTGGAAGTGACCTTGGAGGTCTTCTAGTCCGACTGTCTGCTCAAGCAGGAGACCCTATACCATTCCAGACATATTATTATCCAGACAAATTATTATCCAAAGCACCAGAGGGCAGGACAAGAAACAATGGTTGGAAACCAATCAAAGAGAGAAGCAACCTGGAATTAAGGAGAAACTTCCTAACAGTGAGGACAAACAACCAGCTTGCCTCCAAAGGTTGTGGATGCTCCATCACTGGAAGTTTTTAAGAAGAGTCTAGAGTAGACAATCACTTATCTGAAATGGTATAGGTTCTCTGAGCAGGGGGCTGGACTAGAAGACCTCCAAGGTCCCTTCCTGCTCATCCATTTTATTCTATTCTAAATGGTTCTCCAGTCGCTTTTTGAAAGCCTCCAATGATGGAGCACTCACAAGGTCTGAAGGCAAGCTGTTCCACTGGTTAATTGTCCTCACCGTTAGGAACTTTTGCTTCAATTCCAGGTTGCTTCTTTCGTTGATTAGTTTCCATCCATTGTTTCTTGTCCTGCCCTCTGGTGCAGGATAATACTTTTTTGTCCCAGTGGACAAAAAATAACTTGAAATTTAAATGTAATAGTAGCATTACAGTCTCCCAGACTTGTAAAACTTTCCCGGAGAATTTGTTTTCCAGCCTCTGCAGGTCTATGGACTTGGGCGGGGCAGTGGGGTTGGACTAGATCAGTAATCACCAACTAGTGGTCCGTGAGAAAATTTTGGTGGTCCGCAGAAAAATTATTTGCATTTTTTATATTGCACTAAATACTATTTATCTTTTTTAAAAATTCGTACTAGTGGTCGGCAGGATTTAAAATTATGAATTTAGTGATCCCTGAGGTCCGAGAGGTTGGTGACCGCTGGACTAGATGACCTTCAAGGTCCCTTCCAACTCTTTCTAAAAGTCTGTAGAGATTCTCAGTCTTCCAGGTCATGGGTGTCCCAAAGGTGCTTTTTCAGGAGGCAACCGGACTTTCTTGTTTTTGTTTCTTTTTCTTTTGAAGAAGCTTCTTGGATGAGAAGCGAAACGTCTTCAAAAGGAAAGAAAAAAACCCAAAAAAGTCCAGTTGCCTCCAGTGATGGGATTCAAGTAATTTAACAACCGGTTCTCTGCCCTAATGATTTCCTCCAACAACCAGTTCGCCAAACTGCTCAGAAAGTTAACAACCGGTTCTCTCAAAGTGGTGCGAACTGGCTGAATCCCACCACTGGTTGCCTCCTTGAAAAAGCACCTTTGGGACTTCTCTCTCTCTTTTTTTTTTTTTAAATTTGATTTATATGCCGCCCTTCTCCAGAGACTCAGGGCGGCTTACAATGCGCTCACAATGCGCTAAGCAATAGCCTTCATCCTTTTGTATATTTATACAAAGTCATCTTATTGCCCCCACAAACTGGGTCCTCAATTTACCTACCTTAGAAAGGAAGGAAGGCTGAGTCAACCTTGAGCCTGGCGAGATTCGAACCTGCAGTAATTGCAGGCAGCTGTGTTAATAACAGGGTGCTTTAGACCGTACTACCAAGGCTCTATTTTTTTAAATAAAGTTTTTATTTTTATTTTTAAACATACAGCAATATCATCAGTATCATTGCATGGACAGCGTGGTGTCTGAGTATCGTTCAAACCCATATATAATACAAATAAGAACTACTACATTGATCAAACGAACACAAGTCTCCCGTTAACAAACCTGTTAAACTACAATGCCCGGCATCCTTTTCTTCGAGCGGCCACGACGTCTTGCTCCCTCCTCTCTCCCCACAATGCATCGCGCGCCGCTCTGCCTCCCCGGCCCATCCGGGTGAGTACCCGCCCGCAGTGCATTGTGGGAGAGGCGATAGTGTGTCTGTCTGTGTGTGTGTGTGTGTGTGTGTAGTGGAGGGAGGGGTGGGGGGTAACCTGCAGCCATGGAGAACAGCAAGGATGCGCCAGGTGAGCCTCGGTCCTCAGGTGAAGCGTCCCTTTCCCGCTCTTCTCCCCCCCCCCACCTCTCCTCATCCTCCTCCCCTGGGAAGGGTTCCCGCCTCGCTCTTTTTAAACAATGCCCCGTGACGACGCCCTTTGTCCGGCGGTGGTTGCTTTGTAGGCCTTCGGCCTGCTTGCGAACGGTGGCCAGGGACCATCATCCCCTCCCGAAGGCTTTCCATGGAGCGCCGGACTACAGTTCCCATCCAGGGGACAAGGGGCAGGCGCGCCTCTCGTCTTCCTCGGCCTCTTTGTCTTCTGTGCGGTGGTTTTTTTTTTTTTTTTTTTTTGTCCTGCCAGGTTTTTTTTTTGTGTGTGTGTTGACCAATTCGCTTCCCCCCCCTCCCTCCCTCCCAAGGATATCATATTTTTTTAATTGATTTTATTTTATTTATTTATTTTTGTCAAGCATTTATAAGATAACAGGTAAGAAGTATAAACATGATTATGAATACATGAAAAGAGTTAAGAGGTAAAAAGGAAACATTAGGACAGGGACGGTAGGCAGGCTGGTGCTCTTATTTGTTTATTTGTTAATCTTATTTGTTATTTATTTATTTTGTCAAGTACGTATTAGATAACAGATGTAAGTATAAACATGATTATGAATGCATGAAATGGATTATGAATAAAAGGGGGACATTAGGACAAGGCATGCTGGTGCTCTTATTTATTTATTTGTTTGTTATCTTATTTGTTATTTATTTATTTATTTTCTCAAGTACGTATTAGATAACAGATATAAGTATAAACATGATTATGAATGCATGAAATGGATTACGAACAAAAGGGGGACATTAGGACAGGGACGGTAGGCACGCTGGTGCTCTTATTTGTTTGTTTGTTATCTTAATTGTTATTTATTTATTTATTTATTGTCAAGTACGTATTAGATAACAGATATAAGTATAAACATGATTATGAATGCATGAAATGGATTACAAATAAAGGGGACATTAAGACAGGGACGGTAGGGACGCTGGTGCTCTTATGCGCCTTATTTATTTATTATTTATTTTCTCAAGCATGTATTAGATAACAGATATAGGTTTATACTTATATCTTATACTTAAACTTATACTTAAACAAGATTATGAACACATGAAATGGATATGAATAAAAGGACATTAGGACAGGGACGGTAGGGACGCTGGTGCTCTTATTTATTTGTTTGTTATCTTATTTGTTATTTATTTTTGTCAAGCACGTATTAGTTAACAGATACAAGTATAAACATGATTATCAATACATAAAATGGATATGAATAAAAGGGGGGCATTAGGACAGGGACAGTAGGCACGCTGGTGCTCTTATGCACATTATTTATTTATTATTTTGTCAAGCATGTTTTAGATAACATATAAGTATAAACATGATTATGAATACATGAAATGGATACGAATAAAAGGGGGCATTAGGACAGGGATGGTAGGCATGCTGCTGCTCTTATGCACGTTATTTATTTATTATTTTGTCAAGCATGTTTTAGATAAGATATAAGTATAAATGATGATTAGGGGACTGGAGGCTAAAACATATAAAGAATGGTTGCTGGAATTAGGTATGTCTAATGAAAAGAAGGACTAGGGGTAACATATCTCAGGGACTGCCACAAAGAAGAGGGAGTCAAGCTATTCTCCAAAGCACCTGAGGGCAGGACAAGAAGCAATGGGTGGAAACTAATCAAGGAGAGAAGCAACTTAGAACTAAGGGGAAATTTCCGGACAGTGAGAACAATTAACCAGTGGAACAACTTGCCTCCAGAAGTTGTGAATGCTCCAACACTAGAAGTTTTTAAGAAGAGATTGGATAGTCATTTGTCTGAAATGGTATAGAGTTTCCTGCCTGAGCAGGGAGTTGGACTAGAAGACCTCCAAGGTCCCTTCCAACTCTGTTATTCTGTTATTCAAGTATTTCTTGATTTAATAGATTATAAATCTTTGTGTAGTCTTGTTTTATTTAATCTTTCTTTGTTTACTGCAATTTCTGTGCTAGTTCAATGGATTCTAAGTAACCTGAAAAGTCATATTGACAAGCACCAGAGAAAATATTGGCACTGCTCAGAAGTAACAAAATAGGTTGCAAGAAATTGCAGAGATGCAGACTCAAATTTATTCTCAGCTCTATAAATTCACTGGGTGACTTCAGGCCACTTATGCACTCACAGCTTAATCTACTTTACAGAGGTGTTGTAAAAGGGATCATATACTTCTATGGTAGGCTATTAAGTATCTATTGGTGCTATTAAGTAGCACCCGCTGCCTGCAGTTACTGCAAGTTCAAATCTCACCAGGCTCAAGGTTGACGCAGCCTTCCATCCTTTCGAGGTAGGTAAAATGAGGACCCGGATTGTGGGGAGCAATAAGCTGACTTTGTATAAAAAAGAACACCTCTTGGGGGGGGCGAAAGCCCTACTAAGCAGGTATATACAAAAGTATGAAGGCTATTGCTTAACAAATTGTAAGCCGGCCTGAGTCTCCAGAGAAGGGCGGCATATAAATCGAACCAATAAATAAATAAATAAATAAATAAATTAGGTAATTGTTGCTATTAGTACTGTTTTCCTCAATTGTCAGTGGCTAGGAAATTGATTTTCACTGTGCTGGAGAATTGTCTTCTTTTAATTTTTAATGTTTTTGTTCTGGGAAAATTTTTTAATATAAGTATGGTAATGCCAAAGATTTTCAGCTTATTGATTGCTGAAAGTGGGTGTTAGTGGGACAAGCCATTTGCTAAATAACTGTTCGTAAAGTTGCTGCAGCACAGTGCATGTTAACATAGACTAGAATGTGTTATATCTTTAGTTGATGGAAGGTCTTTAGATGTTTTGGGACAAGTCAAATGAATGTCCATTTTTCTACAATTGTAAGAGTAACATGGTATCTCTGTCATGCTCTGCCTACATTTAATTATATTGCTACGGTAAGGTATGCAATAACCAGGAACACTTCTTCCCCCCCCAATTAAAAATAGGAAACTTGTTCATTTCTGATGCAAATTTTGGCAAAATACCGTGATCAGATCTCAGTTTCTTAGATTTTTTTAAAAGACATAAAATATATTTTATTAGCCATTAGCTTGAAGTCCAGTTATTCTTGGTTTACCTAATGGATTTTACATTGACTTTCAGGTTAGGTTTTTTTATAGCAATTTACAATAGTCTGTATATAAGATTGGATGCAGTAAGATTAAAATGCTAAAGTTAATTGCTGCACAAGAATAACATAATCCAGTAAAAAGCACATAAAAATTAATACATTATTGACAGATGCAACAATTTAAAGCAGGGAGGTGCTACATTCACATTCTAGCACAAAGAAAACTTGTCCATAGAATAGAATAGAATAGAATAGAATAGAATAGAATAGAATAGAATAGAATTCTTCATTGGCCAAGTGTGATTGGACACACAAGGAATTTGTCTTCGGTCCATATGCTCTCAATGTACAATGTACAATAAAAAGACAAGATACATTCGTCAAGAATCATAAGATACAACTTAATGATAGTCATAGGGTACAAATAAGCAATCAGGAAACAATATAAATATAAATTGTAAGGATACAAGCAACAAAGTTACAGTCATACAGTCATAAGTGGTAGGAGATGGGTGGTGGGAATGATGAGAAGATTAATAATAATTCAGACTTAGTCAATATTTTGACAGTGTTGAGGGAATTATTTGTTTAGCAGAGTTTTGGAAATAAAACATTTTTTTTTTTGAAAAAGTTTTGAAAAGAGAGATTTTTGGATCTCTCTTCCTTTGCAATTAGAATAGAATAGAATAACAGAATTGGAAGGGATCTTGGAGGTCTTCTACTCCAACCCCCTGCTTAGGCAGGAAACCCTACACCACTTATTATATAATAATTATATCTGAGCAAATCCTCAGCTGCCAGCCTTGTCTTGCAAAGTGATTCTGTGCCCCCTCTTCTTGCTAACCAGGGAAAGCCAGCCGGTGGTTTGGAGTCGCGATGCCCAAATCAGTGAAGACCAACGTGAACATCCTCCATCAGGAGAAGCTGATTGCTCAGAAAAAGCGGGAAATTGAAGCCAAGTTGGAACGGCAAGCCAAACGGAACCACTTGCCAACCCAGCAGGCTTCACAGGGGAGCGAGTATGTAGAATTAATTCTTAATTATCATTGTGATATAACTGTAACAAAAAGGCGATGGTGAGGGCAGCAGCAGAAAAGAATATGAATTGGTGATGGAAGAGTTGTGTATTGATAATTGCTTAACCCTGGTATGATTAGTAAAAAAAAAAAAAGATTGAGAGGATAAGATGGTGAGAAAGAGTTTTTGCTATAACTTTGGAGAACTTTTCCCAGTCAAATCAATAACTAGACTATGTGGATGAGCCCTCAGATTGTATAGAGACTCTCCTGATTCCCATAGGTTGAGTTTGCACAACATGCCAAATGGTGGTTTATTGATTTAACCCAATTGCAATAGACATAAACCAATTAGCCACATTTTGGCTTAGCATGTTATGCTAACCCAGTAACTAGCAAGTCAGCCCTTTCTCCAGATGAGAGTGACTGAACTACTAGCTGAGAAAAAAGGATATCTTTCCCTATCTACCTACCTACCTACCTACCTCTCTATCTCTGTCCACCCCTCCCCCCCACATCCATCCATCCAATGAGCTGCTCATCTCCTAAAGGAACTCTGAGCAGTGTGGCAAAGATGGTTATATAAATAGCACTAAAAAGTTTAATTTATTACATTTTTATGCCACTGTTGTGGCCCGCCAGTGGCCAGCAGAGCTGGCAGCAGATTCGGACAGTGAGGAGGTTGAGGAGGAACATGGGCCAGTCCTGGAGTCTGGGGAAGGCTCAGATGATGGCTCTAAGTCAGAGGCAGAGAGGGGGCCAAGGCCATCTGGTAGTTCTTTGCTGCCTCCGGAGTCTGATATCAGCGAGGCAGAAGAACAGTGTGAACCTGTTCCCAGTGTGCGCATGCGCAGAGCTGCCAGGAAACAGGAACTATTAAGGAAATAGGGTCAACTTGGGAGTAAGGCTTGGAGATGATTGGCTCCTCCCATAAGACATAAAAGAGAAGCGAACAGGACATGAGCTTTTGCAGGAAGCAATTAGTTCATCTGGCTGATTCAAGATTTGAAAATTCTGTTTGTGACTCTGCCAAGTTTGGCCTTGCCCTGAGTCTGGAAGTTAGCTCTTTGGCAGCGTTCCACGTGAGATAGGTGGGTGTTGACAACGTTCCTCTGAAAGACTGTTTATCAAGCCTTGCAGACTCTAAATGAAAGTAATTTACAGCCGTGTGAATTAAAGAGGTTTGCCGGGACTAAGTTTGTGCTGTTTAATTTCTAAGGAAGCCTAGATCAGAACAGCCATCCATCTCCCCTATAAGGTGACTCTGGGCAGCTTACAAGTTATCGAGCAAGTAGAAAGATAATTAAAGTATTAAAATATTAAAATGTTTTAGATCATACTGAAAAAGTTAATTAAAAGGTGTGGAGAGAGCCTTCAGGGCAGTAACCAGCCCCATGGCTGCTTCCCCCTATGTGATTCCCCAAGCAAGGCTGCAGAGTCAGATGTTTGAACCTTTCCAAAAGGCCAGGGGAGTGGCTGTCCACCTCACCTCTGGGGAGAGAATGTTCCATAGCGTGGAGGAACGGCAGAGAAAAACCCCACCAGTCAAAATTCTTTAGCTGATGGGGTCTGCAACGTACCTTCAATGCCTGTCCAGGTAGGACAGGCTGAAGTAATGGCGCAAAGAGTTCCATAGGTAACCTAGTCCCATGCCATTTGGGCTTTAAAGGTCATAACCAACACCTCAAACACCTTCCCAATATTGAAAAATGGAAAGGATGGACTTATAGAGAAACATACCATATTTTTCAGAGTATAAGACGCACCTTTTTCCCCCCTAAAAGGGGGTGAAAATTTAGGTGCGTTTTATATACTGAATGTAGTCCCACCCACCCACTGCCCCCCACCCTTTGGCCTCTGCCCCCAGCAGTTACCTCCTTGCAAGCAAACAGCAAGAAAAAACAGCTCCTTTCAGCTTCAGCACAGCCTAATTAGCACAAGTTGATTGGATCGGCCTCCCGACTCTCTGCTGATTTGCTCTCAGCTCATTTGCGCAGAGCTCTGCTGCTGGCTGCAAAGAGGTAAATTGCTGGGAGCAGATTTTTCCCCCTCCCCCTTGTGCTAATCAAGCTATGCTGAAAACGAAAATGAAAGTAAAGCAGGCTGCTGTTTGCTCCAAAGAGGCAAAATTGCTCAGAGGCAGAGGGAGATTTCATTTATCTTCTTTTCCTCATCAAAAAAGGTAGGTGCGTCTTATACTCCGGTGTGTCTTATACTCCGAAAAATATGGTACAGTACTGTGACTGTTGCAACTTTTAATATCCTTTCTCTCTTTCCCTTCAAGTGACGATAGTGGTGATGGGGAAAGTGGTGTTTCAAACAAATTTGCTAACGATGGCAGCTTCCTCCAGCAGTTCCTGAAGCTACAGAAGGAAAAACAAGGTAGTGGCAAGGGGTTTACTTTTGTTTTGCCACATTAACACTCGTTGATCTAGAATCATAGTTTCAGTAGAGGTTTTTCACACCACAGAACCTGTTTAAAATTGCCCTGATTTAAGAGGCAAACACTTAGGATGGGCAAGTAAACAAAAAATAAACTGCTGAAGACAGGCTTCAGCACGAGTCCGAAAGCTCGCAAGACAAAACCTTTGGTCCCGATGAACAACCCAGATCAGGTCCAGCAACATTATCCTGGAAGAAAGTAAACTTGTTTCTTGTAAATTATTTATTATTATTTATTGATTGGTTCGATTTATATGCCGCCTTTCTCCGGAGACTCAGGGCGGCTTACAATGCATTAAGCAATAGCCTTCATACTTTTGTATATACCTGCTTAGTAGGGCTTTCAGCCCCCCCACCCCCCAAAGCGGTGTTCTTTTTTGTACAAAATCAGCTTATTGCCTCCACAATCCGGGTCCTCATTTTACCTCCCTCGAAAGGATGGAAGGCTGAGTCAACCTTGAGCCTGGTGAGATTTGAACTTGCAGTAATTGCAGGCAACTGGCAACTAAGTGCTACTTTAACAGCACTTAGTCCACTGCGCCACCACGGCTCTTATAAATGAGAAATTAGTATTTCCGATATACCTAAAATAAAACTTAATTGTCCTCTTGTCCACATTGGTAAATTTTAGGAATACAGTTTGCTGAGTACTACATGGCTCCAGATTTTGAGCTTGATGGGTTGAGGTTTTTTTTTTGTTGTTTTTTTTTTGCCTGATCCAGCAGGGCCATCTTGTTCTCTAAGAAATGCCCCAATCTTTCCATGTTGTAAATGTGTGGGATGGAAGGTGAATAAAATTACTTGGCTAAGGCATCCTTGAGAAATCTGAGCAGGGATCTGAAGTAGATTATGCTCCTACTCCTATATCACATCAGTCTTTCCATCTCTTCTCCCCCCCACCCACCCCCCAACAACCCTTCAACTGTACAGGTGCTTCTTCCAGTTCCCCACAGACATCCCATCCTCCCCCTGCAAGTACGGTGAAGAAACCCACCTTGACTGGGAAGCGCCCCAATCTTAGCGTGACCAGCATGTTGAATCAAGTCAAAAACTACACCCATTCCAAGCAGACCCCAGTAACGAATCGCCTGAGTGTTTTCCAGTCGCCGGATGACGAGGAAGAAGAGGATTATGAGCAGTGGCTGGAAATCAAAAGTAAGTTTCCTGGTGGGGATGTCATCCATTTCTCTGTAGTGCCATCTGTGACGAAGGAACCTTTAAAAATGCGAGGCTTCTGCCCTGAGGTACTTTAGCACTTTCTTATTTAAAAAAAAAAGAAGAGAGAGATGGAAGAGAAGATACTGAAAGTGCTTGAATGCCTAAAAAAAAAAAGACGCTGGTTTTGTTTGCGAGCTAAAAACAAATGCCGAGTGAGATGTAGCATTCGCATCCTGCTGGGTGTTCTGTCCCCGTCTCACACACGCACACAAACAGTCAGCCAGGAGTTAATAAAACCAGCAGTCAGGAATTTCTTTGAGATAACAGCATTAGCTGCTTGCCAAAAACTTTACTCACAAAGGGAGGTTTTCCTCCTCCGTCGAATAAACCAAAATAAGTTCACAAAGCCAAAGAATTGTCAAGTCCAGTCCATAATAAATCCAAGGAAGGCATATAACGAAGTTCCAGAAACGCAGTATGACTTGCTAGCTTTTCAGCTTTGTCTGTCACAAAGCCTGAATGGCCACCACACCCCCTTATATCCCTGTGGGGTGTGGTCCAGTGACTCAGCTTAATCTCTGGCACGCCTCCTTCTCTGCTGCGCACGCTTTTCTTTCTGACGCTGTCGGGGATCCAGCCAAGACTTATCTCCGTCGCTGTCTAACTGCGGCTGCTCGGAAGTGCCTGGCTCCTGGCCTATCTCTTCTCCTTCGGAAGACACCTGGGCATTGCCAGAGAGGAGGGTCCTGGAGAGGGAGGCCTTGCCAACTCCTCTCCTTCGCTTTCGGAGTCTTCTGCCTCCGATAAGACGGGCTCGGGGGTCGGAGTCACAACACTGGGGCAGTTCTTTGGGAAGGATAGCAGGGAGAAAAGGGGAGGAAATAAAGTGGAATGTTTTCACTGTGATTCAGGAGCCAAGCCGAAAGACAGCTTCAGGCTAAAAGGTCCTATAGTCAATCACTGAATACATTTACGCAACATATTAAGCCACTGAATTGGTGCAGGACGAAATGACAAATCAGGGTCAGTTGCGGGCTCTTTATTAATTACCATGTCAGCCAATACCCTATCAGAGGCTGTTCAGCTAAATATTCCTGTTTGTTTTTTATAAAGTTGTTTCAATATTAAACGATATACATCCAAAAGGATTTGATATATTTAAAAAAATTCTCACACAGATACACATCTTGGTTTATCATTTGGGGGCAGCTCCTGTCTTCTGTCTATATAAAGGGCAGAACAGATCTTGTTTAGATTTCAGTAATGCTCTGGAATCTAGATCAATGTTTCTCACCCTTGGGCATTTTAAGATGGGTGGACTTGCAACTCCCAGAATTCCCCAGCCAATATGCCTTTTGGGAATTAAAATTCAGCCATTTTGGGGAATTGAAATCCAGCCAAGTTTGAGAAACACTAATCTAAATTATGTGTTAGGTGGATAAATCTATTTCAGAACATATTTTCAAATCATGGTGAGGGTGCTCCTCCTTAAGTATCACTTAAATCCATATCCCAGGTTGAGATATCACCCTAGGCTCAACCTCATCATGGTTAGCATGGCATACAAATCAGGCCAATTGTACATTATGGCAACACATAAGCTGTGTTTGCTAGCACAGTTACTCAAGGTAAATTCAACTATGGTTTACACTAAGCTAAATCAGCTAGGTGTGCTTGGCCTTTGCCACATGCTAAATTGACTAGCTTGTGGATACTCTGATTTTTTAAAAAAGTGACAGCAGTAACAAACCTCTTCCATATCATTACTAAGAACGAATGATATCCACTTGGTTACTGAGTGTCTAGCAATACCAGTAGCACTTAGACCTATATATGTTCCATGTTGCTTTACAACCCTCTGAGCGATTTACAAATATCACCATATCGCCCCAACAATCTGAGTCCTCATGTTACTGACTTCAGAAGGATGGAAGGCTGAGTCGACCTCGAGCCAGTCAGGAGTGAAGTCATGGCTGTGGGCAGAGTCAACCTGCAATACTGCATTCTAACCACTGTGCTACCACAGTTCCTAGGTCTACTCTAGGGCAACTAAGGAGTTATTTTTATTTTTATAAAAATAAAATATACTAATCCAGCCTTTTTTGGTTTATTCGGATCATACCAAAAACTGATAAAACTACTTTTCAGCTTTTCCCTTTGTAAAGCTTAACAGAACAATCTGACATCACGGTGCAAGGGAATAGTGTATCTTGTGGCAGACAAGGTTACTTTTACAGCCATGATTGTGTAGCTTTGATGAAGTTTGCCCCTGACCACTGATCTGCTTTGAAAACAGATTACAATTCGGATGTCTAGCAGCCTTCTCTCCTGTCCAAGACAATTATAAAATTTTCCAGATGAGTTTTTTTGAACAGCCAGCTATGGGAGAGACTCAGAATAGGAGTACAGCAGACAGCATTCAGATGTTACATTAAGGTACAGTTAGGCTCCTTCTGATCATAAATCTCATCTCCTTTCCATATAACCAGGAGATTTGAACTGACCCCTATTTATCAGGTCATTCTGATTAATCGGTGTTACTTTTAAACAAGCTTTGTCTAATTTTGAAGCTGATATATTTAAACTAATCTTAGTTTCCATCAGTCATAAATCCTGATTCAGATGGCACAGGAAACCTCAGTACTTAAAAGAAGACACTAATTTCTTTTAATCCCATTCTTCCACAACCAGGCAGACAGGTGGGACTGAAGGCCAGCTCTAGCTGGACTTCTGCCAGAAAATGTGGGCCAGTTTAGGCACTATCCAGGGGAGAAACAGGACTTCCCCATTTGACTTTTGTTCACTTGACTAGAATCAAGGAAAGATTGGATTCTTTACTTAATCTGACAGCCGTTCTCGGATTTCAGAACAGGACTGTATAATCCCAAGAGCCATTGCCTGAAATCAGAAGGTAGAAGGGAAGCTGTGGCTGAATTCCAGTAGCCTCAGCCAGCCTGTTCTGTTTTGGGGATGCTATAAGTTAATTATTTAGCAATAACGAGTTGCAGATTTCTTCAACCTTCCCTTAATGCAGATAGCAAAGCTTCTCTTTGGTAGCCTTATCTTTGGGACACCTGAGAAATTAAACTCCTTGTATAATTCTCACAGGTGTTCAAGGATGATGATACCAATAAAGGACAATATTTGTAGCTCAGGGTTGAAATGAGGGCTCCTTGGTGCTCCCTGAGCTTGGTTGTTTTTGTGCAGACATTTCAGTACCCAAACTAGGTAACATCAATTAGTGCTAATCACTGCTAAGCAGTGATGTTCCCTGGTTTGGTTAATGAAACATTTGCAGGAAAACAACCAAGCTCAGAGAGCTCCAAGGACCCTTCAAGGGTGATGATTTTCAGCCTTTCTTTCCTGCAGGTTTTGGGGCCCTGGGTTCTAAGGTCCAGTCCTTTCTCAAGCTCAGATCAAAGATCTGATTTGGTATTGGGTTCTGTTGTTGCAGAAGCTGCCTCGGGTGAATCTAGTAGCTATTACTCCAAACCTGAAGATGTATGAACCTCAGCCCTATCACGTGTCTTTCCTACGCACCTTCCTTTCTCCCCTCCTGGATTAAAAGCGCCAGGCTTACGTTGCTGTCCACCATGTCTCCATCATTTCCTCCTCTTCTCATTCCCCACCCTGCCTTCTCCCTGCCAACTCATGGCTCTTAGAGGTAATGTGCCTGTTGGGTGTGTGAGTAGAGAGCCCCCTGTACTGACAGCCTGCTTAAAGTTTGCCCCCCAGAGGACATCCGGACCCGCCGAATCGTTGAGAAGCTGGCCAGGGTGGTGGCCGAAGGGGGCCCAGAAATGGAGAAGGTCGCGCTGGAAGACTGCAAGGATAACCCAGTATTTGCGTATGTTGTTTCCTGTTTCTCCACGTGCAGAGTTCCCTTGATAGGGATCGGGTCCATATTCATCACCGAAAGCTCTAAGCTTCTGGTGTTTTTCCCTCTCAGTGGTTCCATCCAGGGGACCTTCCTTCTCCACCCAGGGCATATCCAGGGCCCCTTACTACTTCGGGGAGCTGGAGATATATTGATCCGCATCCCCCTGTTCCCATCCTAAAAGCAGCCTTAAACACATCCTTTCTTTCTTGCTTTTAGGTTCCTACATGATAAGAACAGCCCAGAATTTCTCTACTACAGAAAGAAACTGGCCGAGATGTGGAAGAAGGGCCAAGATGTAGAGGAGACCACCCCTTCTCAGAAAGGTGAGACTAAGTTTCACAGCTTCTTAGGTCGTTCGCTTCACTTTACAGCAGGGTTTCCCAATCTTGGCAACTTAAGGAGGTGTAGACTTCAACTTCCAGAATTCCCCAGCCAGCATCGCTATCTGAGGAGTTCTGGCAGTTGAAGTCCACATGTCTTAAATTTGCCAAAGTTGAGAAACCCTGGCTTACAGTGTTGTGATCAGCTAGTCAGCTTAGATTAGGTAGTTAAAATGAATGTGATAGAGTTAATGAGATTGGATGCATTTTAATTGGTTCCCCAATTAAGCATAACTTTCCAGTATAATTCTGGGTTCAATTACAGTCGTAAGTTGAGGACTACCTATACTTAAATTATACCAGTTGTATTTTAAAGTTTTCTTATTGTTAGCTAAAGAAGAATTCTGTTATGCAACATTCATATTTTGCTTTTCCTGGTAGATTTATTACTACAGTTAGAAAAATGGAAATCTATGTTTTATGCTTAAAGTGCACAGACTTTTAACTTATTACATTACCACCCTGGTGCATCCCTTAATATGTCCTGTGCACAATTCAGACCATTAAAGGAGTAGTCATTGCAAGGGAAAATGAGGATCTAGAGCAGGGGTCGGCAACCTTAAACACTCAAAGAGCCATTTGGACCCGTTACCCACAGAAAAGAAAATACCGGGAGCCACAAAACCCTTTTGACATCTAAAATGAAGATAACACTGCATATATCGTTTTTTACCTTTATGCTATGTATAAAAAAACAATAGTGTGTTGCATTTGTGAAATCAGTGAACTGCTACAGAGAAAACAAATTTTTATTTCTCCGTGCAACAAAAACATTTTGAACTCCGAAAAAAAAAGTTGGGTCGAAAAGCTCAATAAATCGTGTGCTGGCAGGTGTTGCACATTGGCGGTTGTGACTCATTTTGAGCAACAGGGAGCCGCAGCAGAGGGATGAAAGAGCCACAGGCGGCTCCAGAGCCGCGGGTTGCAGACCCCTGATCTAGATTGAATGAAGTAATATCTTTCCAAGCATTGCACCTTCAAAATGTTGAAAGCTGTTGTTTTATCAAATTAATTCAGGGGGGAGGTGTTGATAATTTTTGAATGACCATTAAATTGGAGAGTATCTTGTGATAACGATTTGTGCTGTTTCTGTAACCCTGATGCCATTCATCAGGATAGATTAATCCTTTGCACTGAGGTTTCATTAGAGCAGTGTTCTCAATCTTGGCACCATTAAGATACGTGGATTTCAACTCCCAGAATTTCTCAGCCAGCCACGCTGGTTAAAGATGCCAAGATTGAGAAATAATGTACTAGAGTATCATTCTTAGCCTTTGTGGCTATTTAAGGACCTGCTTGAGAAGCATTTCCTTGGTTTAGCAATGTAAAGGAAAACCTCCAGATCACTGCCACACTTCCAGGCTAGCCTTCTCCCAGTCTTTTTTAGAGCAATGTCATAGGCTAGTTCCATTTTTTTTTTCTAACTTGCATTTATAAAAATAAAAAAAAAGAGGGAACAAAGCAAACATTTCAACCATCCTCTTCCCACTTATTCCAACCCTTTGGGATCCTTAAAGCCAGATTAATCTTGTGACTGTTGGGTGTGTGAGTTGGGGACACCGTACTGACAGCCTGCTTAAAGTTTCACCCCCAGAGGATGAGGAGACCAAGGACTGTGCTGAGAAGCTGGCTCGGTTTGTGGCCGACGGGGGCCCTGTGGTGGAAATGGTTGCCCTGAAAAACCACCGAGAGAATCAGTCATTCAGGTAAAGGGTGCTGGTGAGAAGGGAGACCCTGGCAGTGATGCCAGCTTTTCAGATTCCCAAATGATTTTTAAATGCTGAAAATCTCACAGAATTTTTTTGATGATCTGTCTCAGGACTGGAGCTTTCTTCTTCGCTGGTTTCAGGGTATGTGGAGCAAAAAAAAGAATCAGTTCCTGTCCCTCCCACCCATTTGACCAAGGAAATCTTGGTTTGATTCAAACTGGAACATCCAAACCCATCTTTCTCTGTTTTTATGTGTTCTTAGATGGGTAAATGATTTAAACTTGGATTTCAAGCCTGAGCTTGATTTTGTATCCCGGTGTGTCATCTTAGTTTAAATCTGAGGAGATAATGATTTGATCAACTTTCTGTGGAGAATATGCGAGTTACTGAAAACAAAGTCAAGCCATAAACCTGTTTTCTGTGGGAAACGCATACTCCTATTGCAGTTGTGTTTATCTTCTAAGACGTTTCAGATTTGAATTCGGAAAGAGTGTGGAGGTGGGGCTGTATGTATGTATTGGCAATTCCTGTTATGGAAATAGAAATACACCTCTGGGTCCACAAAAGCTAGCAGCCCTTTTCATCAAGGGAGAGAGATAGTCATGCCCTCCTGAAAATAGCTGATAAGCTGTTGGGTTTATTTTCTCTGTAAATGACAGCTTGCTGGATTTATTGTCTCTGTGTCAGACCTGCCTCAGCTTGATCCTCTAAGTAAGAACGGTCCTTAACTCCATTTGTTGAGAAAGGTATAGTTTACTAGAAGTCAAGTGAATTACAGTAAGGCAAAGCCAGAACTGAAAATTGTGCACCAAAATCCCCAAGTCTTAACTTTCCCCTTCCTTAGTTGCCTCCCATTACCGGCCCCCCATGTCCAGTCAAATTCAAAAAAGATGTTTTTAGAACAGGCACTTCAAGCATAGGTTTGGTATGCAGCTTGATCCTCTAAATAAGAACGACCCTTAACTCCATCTGCTGCGAAAGGTATAGTTTACTATAAGTCAAGTGAATTACAGTAGTGCATAGCCAGAACTGAAAATCCAAAATCCAAAACCCTCAAGTCTAATTCTCCCCTCCCTTAGTTGCCTCCCATTACTGCCCCCCCCCATGTCCACTAAAATTCAAACGATGTTTTTAGAACAGGCATTTCAGGCGTAGGTTTGTTATGCAGCTGTGTCCTGTTAATTTTGAAGCTCATCTCTGGGAGATACAGTAAACTTTAGTTTCCCTTGAAGCATCCCCCATCCCATCCAAACCGCCCCCCCAACCCCCGCCGCCCCAAGGTTCATGGCAACTGATACTGAATGGTAGCAAAGTGCAAGCATGAGGTGGCAGCTGACACTCTTTGTTTGTTTTGTGTACGCTTGCAGATTTTTGTACGAGCCCAACAGCTCAGGATACAAGTATTACCAGCAGAAGCTGGAGGAATTCCGGAAAGCAAACAGTAACATCGAGGGCATGCCGCCAATATCAGAAGCCAGCCTGAAGCGCAAGGCCTCTTCTGAGGGGGGACCTTCCTCTTCCTCTTCCATTTCTTCTTCCTCCTCTTCCTCCTCCTCCCTCTCCTCCTCCTCGTCTTCCTCCTCCTCCTCAACAGCAGCACCCACGGTTTCTCTGCCGAAGCAGGCAGCCGCATCCAGTGCGAAGAAAAAGCGGAAAAGCCGGTGGGGCCCAGAGGAGGAGAAGGTGGATTTGCCTCCTCCAGAGCTCTCTCAGCAGACGCAGGAACCGTCGCCAACACCATTGTCTGGTTAGCTCTTGTTGTGTTTTAAAGCCAATGCAGAGCTGGGGCTTTGTGGGGGGGCTGTTGGGTTGTGAGTTTTCTCACCCACCCAGCCAGTTTTGTTTCAAGCAGAGGGTAGTGCTAGAGAAGCAGGTTCATTTCACCGGCCCCTTTACGACCGGTCACTTACTGACCATTCAGAGTTACGAAAGGCCTACAGGCCATGTGTGACTTACGACTTACAAACTGAGTTCGAAATTTCTGTCACCAAGTGAGACAGTCGGGAAATGATTTTTGCCCCATTTTATCACCTTCCTTGCCACAGTTGTTAAGTGAATGACAGCAGTTGTTACGTTAATAACACGATTGTTAAGTGAATCTGCCTCCTCCCCCACCACCCCAATTGACTTTGCTTGTCAAAAGGTTGCCAAAAGGGATCACATGATGCCGGGTCACAGCAATCGTCATAAATGTGAGTCAGTTGCCAGGCATCTGAATTTTGATCATGACACACACGCACGCACAAACGCCATGACCATGGGGATGCTGTAGTGGTCACAAGTGTGAAAAATGATCGTAAGTCCTTTTTTTCAGTGGCATTGTAACATTGAATGGTCGCTAAATGAACTGTTGTAAGTCGAGGACTGCCTGTACCTTGAGGCAACTTACAACCCAGATCTGAAGTTCTGATGGTTGGCGGGGGCACCCCCATGGTCATGTGACCAAACTTTTTTTTTTTAATTGAAAAAGTTTTCAATTACAAAATTTTTTTTCCCCTTTTTACCCCCCCTCCTCCCTAACCCCCCCTCACCACCAAACTTTGAGTACTGGGCAGCGTGAGCTCATTTACGGCCATTTGCAGAATCCTGTAGGCATATTTTGCCCCAAAAATGGGCACTTCCACTTTTCAGTGAAATCATGCCCATAGCAAACCATAGCGTCCATTGCAAAGAAAGATCACATGAATGAAAGATGTGGAGACTCTAGAAAGAGTGCAGAGAAAAGCAACAAAGATGATTAGGAGACTGGAGGCTAAAACATATGAAAAATGGTTGCAGGAACTGGGTATTTGTAGTTTAATGAAAAGAAGGACCAGGGGTGACATGATAGCAGTGTTCCAATATCTCAGGGGCTGCCAGAAAGAAGAGGGAGTCAAACTATTCTCCAAAGCCCCTGAGGGCAGGACAAGAAGCAATGGACGGAAACTAATCAAAGAGAGAAGCAACCTAGAACTAAGGAGAAATTTCCTGACAGTTAGAACAATTAATCAGTGGAACAACTTGCCTGCAGAAGTTGTGAATGCTCCAACACTGGAAGCTTTTAAGAAGACGTTGGATAACCATCTGTCTGAAGTGGTGTACAGTTTCCTGCCTAAGCAGGGGGTTGGACTAGAAGACCTCCAAGGCCCCTTCCAACTCTGTTATTCTATTCTATTCAACTGACCTGTTTTTACAACCTCATGACTTATGGCCATTATGGGGAGGCTCTATTAGAACAATAGCACTTAGACTTATATACTGCTTCACAGTGCTTTACAGCCCTCTCTACGCGGTTTACAGAGTCAGCATATTGTCCACAACAATCTGAGTCCTCGTTATAGTCATAAGTTGAGGACTGCCTGCAATGGGATCTTCGCATCTGCTCCAGTGATGTTTTTTTAAGCCCCACCATAGCCATGCCCCATGCTGTTACGAGCCTTAGCCTCAGAGCTATTGAGTTTAATTCTCTCTATGGAGAGGGTTAACCTTGCCAAGGCATTCTGAGACTAAATATGCCACTTGGCTGGGGAAAAATGGTACGTTGTTCTATATGCAAACGTATCTTTCACAAACAAAACCACATACATATCTTCCTAGAAATAGGTCACTCAGTGGGTTCAGTAGAACTTGCTTTGAGTTGGGCGTGTCCAATGTTTTATTCTTCCAGAAAGCTATGCCAATTGCCTCTTTAGGGAAAACAGGAGAACTTAACTTGATTCTCATGAACACACCTTGTCAATGGCGGCTATGTGCCACATCCAAGAACAATCAAAGAAGGAATAGAACTGTTTTTCAAGAATCTCGAGGCACCTGGATCAGAGATACTAGCCTACCTTAGAGCAGGGGTCTCCAACCTTGGCAACTTTAAGATTTTATGGACTTCAACTCCCAGAATTCCTCAGCCAGCAAAGCAAAGCAAAGCTGGCTGAGGAATTCTGGGAGTTGGAGTCCACAAGTCTTAAAGTTGCCAAGGTTGGAGACCCCTGCCCTAGAGGATAGGGTGGTTTTAAGCAACAATAGTTGGGGAGAGGGTCCAGTCGAGGAGCAAGTTAATTCTTCTAATCCTCATTTCTTCTCCAGTCCAGGACCTCAAGGGACTTGGCTACGAGAAGGGGAAGCCAGTTGGATTGGTTGGTGTGACAGAGCTGTCAGATGCGCAGAAGAAGCAGCTGAAGGAGCAGCAAGAGGTAAATTAAGGTCACATTGTTCTTGTGTGTGCTTGTTGAGGCCACTGCATTCTTTAGCTTTTGTGTCTCTGCTGCCGCCATCCAGTTTTCTGTGTATTGGTCTAGTGGTGAGGACACAGACTCGAAGCTGGTGCCACCTTAGCCATAAAAGTCAGCCGGGTGATTTTGGGCCAGTCACTCTCTCTCAGCCCAACTCGCCTCACAGGGTTGCTGTGGGGAAAGTAAGAAGTGGAAGGTGTGTTGGATACATTCACTGCCTTCAGTTATAGGAAAAATAATAAAAGTGGGATTAAGATAGAGATGAGAGAGAGAGGAAGAGAGAGAGAGAAATAGAGACAGACAGACAGACAGACAGATAGATAGATCTCGATACAGATAGAAATAGAGATAAAGAGATAGAGATAGTATAGACTAGAGGATGACCTTTGGAGGACAGGAAGAGAATCCATTACCAAAGCATCAATCAAATAAACTAGGTTTGAGCCCAGATCAAGGAAGTGGTTTATCAAAATGCCTCAGAAAGCCCCCCCCTTACAAATATTCTCCTTACGATCTATGTTATCTATCACTTTGTTGTTTGTATGTACACTGAGAGCTTATGCACCAGAAACAAATTCCTTGTGTGTCCAATTACACTTGGCCAATAAAGAATTCTACTCTACCCTACAGATGCAGCAAATGTACGACATGATCATGAAGCACAAACAGGCCATGCAGGAGATGCAGATCATGTGGGAGAAGACGATCAAAGATCACCAGTCCGGCTACGACAGCGATGAGGAAATCGACAATGAGCTGGGCACGTGGGAGCACCAGCTGAGGCGCATGGAGATGGACAAGACCCGTGGTTAGTACTTAGAGGGGGGAGACGGGGAAGACTTCGTATCCACCTTGATCTGGACAATACAGGTAGTCCTTGATTTACAACCAGAATTGAGCCTGGAAGTACGGTCATTAGTCGTGCTAGTTGCTGTTTGGGTCACTATGTGACCATGCCTTACATTATGACTTTTTTTGTGGCAGTTGTTAAGCGAATCCATTGTCTTCAATAGATGGGGCTTTTGGCCGGAAACCAAAAATAAACTACTGTATTTTTCGGAGTATAAGACGCACCGGAGTGTAAGAATTACACCTTAGTTTTTGAGGAGGAAAATAGGAAAAAAAATTCTGGCTACCAGGTATTCATCTGGCTAGCGTCCTTAGTCTGGTCAGCTACAGCACATTAGTTCACTGGTTTTGAGCGCGCATTGTTTTTTATCCCCTGGTTGGGGATAAAAAACAGCCTCTAAAGCACAGCTAATTGTTGGCGAGAGAAGCAATGAGAAAAGCAGGTGAAGCGCAGAAGATCGCTTCACTCGCTAGCGCGTCATTAGGGCTGAAAAAAAGCTTCGAAAAAGCTAGATTCGGAGTATAAGACACCCAAATATTCAGCCTCTTTTAGGGGGTGGAAAAGTGCTCCGAAAAATACGGTAGATGAGCCTCATAATCATTTTCAACCCTTACATTTTATGAATTTTCCCAAGGCTTAAACTCTTTATTACTCTTAACAAAGCTTCCTGTAAAGCTTCTATCTCTTTAGCAGAGGTCCCACCCAAGCCCCAGGCCTGGCCTGTTAGGAACTGGATTGCACAGCTGGAGGCGAGCAGCAGGCGAGATAAACTGCACATGTGCAGGATCTAGATTGTGCACTCCTCTTCCACGGTCCGTGGAAAAATTGTGTTCCACAAAACCCGTCCCTGGGCCAAAAAGGTTGGGGATCAGTGGTCTATAGTATCTAGTGAAAGGGGATTAAAGCTTAATTCACCAGTTTTGACTTTCCCCTCCTCCGTGCTGGCTGGGGAATTCTGGGAGTTGGATTTCACCTTTCTTCAAATTTTAGAAGTTTTTTAGAACACGCTTCCTGCCCATCCTTAATTATAAGCCAGGTGCCTGGAGTTATGGATGTTACAAAGGGTCCAACATAAAGTTGCTGATCCCAGCAAATACATGGACTTAGTGTGTAAATGTGGTTCTCAACTTACAACCACAATGGAGCCCAAAATTTATGTTGCTAAGATTTGTTAAGTGAGTTTTGCCCCATTTTACAACTTTTCTCTCCACATATGTTAATTGAATCACTGCAGTTCTTAAATTAGTAACGTTACTGTTAAGTAAATCTGGTTTCCCCGTTGACTTCGCTTGTTCAGAGGTTGCAAAAGTGGATCACATGACTCCAGGACACCTCAGGTCATAAATGAGAGTCAGTTGCCAAGACTCTGAATTTTTATCACAAGACCATAAGGATGCTGCAATGGTCATAAGTGTGAAAAATCGCCATAAGTCACTTTTTTCCAGCATTTTTTAAACTTCGGTCTCTAAATGAACTGTTGTAAGTTGAGGACTACATGTATTAACTCTGTACAGGTAGCCCCACAATTTACAAGCACAGTTCATCCACAAATTTCTGTTGCTGAGACAGTTGCCCAAATTTGCGACCTTTCTTGCCACAGTTGCATTGCAGTTGTTAAGTTAGTAACACAGTTGCTAAGTGAATCTGGCTTCCCCATTGATTATGCTTGTCGAAAGATCACAGAAGGGGATCACATGATCCCGGGACAGTGCAAACGTCGTAAATATGAGCCAGTTGCCAAGCACCTGAATTTTGATCATGTGACCATGGGGATGCCGCAACGGTTGTAAGAGTGAAGAACAGTCATAAAAATCACTTTTTTCAGTGCCGTTGTAACTTCGAACGGTCACTGAAGAAATGGCTGTAAGTCAAGGATGTTCTTCAAACAATATCTTGCTGACAAGTAATTCTGTTCCGCCTGGTCTTTTTTTCAGAATGGGCGGAGCAGCTGACTCAAATGGGCCGCGGAAAACATTTCATCGGAGACTTTCTGCCACCTGATGAACTTGAGAAGTTTATGGAAACCTTCAAAGCTCTGAAGGTAAAATGTTTAGTGTCCTTCTCTTTAGGACAGATTATACATATGTAGAGTGGTTGAATGTTTCTGGAGGAGGAAGAGGAGAGGGGAGGAGAAGGAAGAGGATCTGTGTTCCTGTTTGAAAAAAATTGGGCAATACATTGTTGTTGTGAAATCGTGTCCGACCCATCGCGACCCCATGGACAACGTTCCTCCAGGCCTTCCTGTCCTCTACCATCCTCTGGAGTCCATTTAAGCTCACGCCGACTGCTTCAGTGACTCCATCCAGCCATCTTGTTCTCTGCCATCTCGTTCTTCTTTTGCCCTCCATCTTTCCCAGCATTAGGCTCTTCTCCAGTGAGTCCTTCCTTCTCATTAGGTGGCTAAAGTATTTGAGTTTCATCTTCAGGATCTGGCCTTCTAAAGAGCAGTCAGGGTTGATCTCCTCTAGGACTGACCGGTTTGATCGCCTTGAAGTCCAAGGGCAGGATCTTCTCCAGCACCAATATATTAGATATATATGCAATACATTAGATATGTATTAGATATGCATATGTATTAGAAATGGATTGACATTCAAATCAAAAGAATACCAGTTGCAACTGAAAATATTGGCAGGGCAATTGGAACAGCATTTAAGCCTCAAAGAGGTCCCTTCAAACTTAGAGGTGTTTCAGATTCAGAATGTTTTCTACCTCATGGTTGTGCGTATTCACACCCACAAAGCATGGCCACAAAACTGGGAAAGGAGCAAAGAAGGATAACCTACTACTACAGGCAAGAGCCTGTAGTACAGTGGACTAAAACACTGTTATTAACAACTGCTGTTTGCAATGACTGCAAGTTCCAATCTCACCAGGCTCAAGGTTGACTCAGCCTTCCATCCTTTCAAAGGTAGGTGAAATGAGGACCCAGATTGTGGGGGCAATAAGCTGACTTTGTATAAATATAGAAAAGTATGAAGGCTATTGCTTAACGCATTGTAAGCCGCCCTGAGTTTCCGGAGAAGGGCGGCATATAAATTAAAGCAAAAAAAAAAAAAAAACCAAAAGTAATCGGAGATTTACTGAGGCACCACCTCTCTAGAGAAATCCTAAACCGTTCAGAGCTTTGCAGTCTGGAATTAATTATTATATAAAAGTATTCCCTGGAGAACACTCTTTTATATTCCTGCTCTAGTAGTAATTGAACTGAAGGATTGTCCAGAAAAACCCAAGATCTAGAAAACCCACTAAAGCAGTGGTTTCCAACTTTTTTTTGGCCAGTGCCTCATCTAAGCATCTCTAAAATCCTTATGCCCCCCTCCCCGACATATAATTCTTACTATTCAAAAAGTGAACTCCTACTCACATGGAGGAAGCCTAAAAGGCCATTAACTTGGTTTAAACAAGGTTCCAAATTGCCCCCATTAAGAATCAAATTGCCTCTCTGTGGGGCGTAGGCCCCACATTGGGAACCACTGAACTAAAGGGTCACTACCTCCAGACAGGTGGCATGGGCCTTTGAAAGGGGACTGAAAAAGGTCGTGGAGGATACATCTCTTGTCAGCCACAGTGACAGCCTGGAACAGTGTTCCTCAATCTTGACAACTAGAAGAGGGGCGGACTTCAACTCCCAGAATTCTTTGCTGGCTTGGAGGATTCTGGGAATTGAAGTCCACCTCTGAGAAAAATTGTTCTAAAGCAGATTCTCACGCATGATTTCTTTTTAAACTTACTGTTTTCTTCCTCCACAGGAAGGCCGTGAGCCTGACTACTCCGAATACAAAGAATTTAAACTGACTGTGGAAAACATAGGTTACCAGATGCTGATGAAAATGGGCTGGAAGGAAGGTGATGGTCTGGGATCTGACGGTCAGGGTATCAAAGCTCCTGTTAACAAGTAGGTGTCTGATCCTTCTTTTGTTATTTCTTGATTTTTGGGGGGGGGGGGGAATTCCTTCCATTTTCCTCTGCTGAGAAACTCACAGAGCAGCGAACAAGTTAGAAAACTAAACCCAAAATATATAGAACATCAGTGTAGAAAGAAGATAGTTATAAAATTGATAGAATAAAGTCTACCTTTTATATAACATCACCAGTATGTTCTTTCTGATATGACATACTGGCTTAGCAGTTTGAAGTCCACATTGTTTAGAATAATTTGCTTTTCAGATGTTTGGTTACAGACAGATGAGAATCAGGGATGTTTCAGCAGATATTAGAGAGGAGAAGCTGCAGAGGGAAGACCAAAACAAGCATCTCTTCTTTTTTTTTTCATCCCTGTATTCATGTGGCCAGACTCAATGACATTGTCACAGGGAGGAATGTTGGCTTCCTTCTGTGAACAGACAGGAAGGAGTCAGAGGCCGTGTGCGCTGCCATGAGTCTGCCTATCAGTGATCATTCTAGATCAGGGCTGTCAAATTCCTGGCCCGCGGGCCGGATGCGTCACGTGCTGGCCACGCCCATGCCCAGTTTTGCAAAGGGGTGGGGAAAGTGTCAATACGTCACGTGACACCGCTGTGACGAGGTAAGTTTGACACCCCTGTTCTAGATAATCTGCTTGGAAGGAGTGGAATGGAATTAGAATTTAGAATTTAGAATTTAGAATTTAATTAATAGAATAGAATAGAATAGAATAGAATAGAATAGAATAGAATAGAGGAGGGGAGAATGAATATTTGCGACCTTTCTTGCCACAGTTGCATTGCAGTTGTTAAGTTAGTAACACAGTTGCTAAGTGAATCTGGCTTCCCCATTGATTATGCTTGTCGAAAGATCACAGAAGGGGATCACATGATCCCGGGACAGTGCAAACGTCGTAAATATGAGCCAGTTGCCAAGCACCTGAATTTTGATCATGTGACCATGGGGATGCCGCAACGGTTGTAAGAGTGAAGAACAGTCATAAAAATCACTTTTTTCAGTGCCGTTGTAACTTCGAACGGTCACTGAAGAAATGGCTGTAAGTCAAGGATGTTCTTCAAACAATATCTTGCTGACAAGTAATTCTGTTCCGCCTGGTCTTTTTTTCAGAATGGGCGGAGCAGCTGACTCAAATGGGCGCGGGAAAACATTTCATCGGAGACTTTCTGCCACCTGATGAACTTGAGAAGTTTATGGAAACCTTCAAAGCTCTGAAGGTAAAATGTTTAGTGTCCTTCTCTTTAGGACAGATTATACATATGTAGAGTGGTTGAATGTTTCTGGAGGAGGAAGAGGAGAGGGGAGGAGAAGGAAGAGGATCTGTGTTCCTGTTTGAAAAAAATTGGGCAATACATTGTTGTTGTGAAATCGTGTCCGACCCATCGCGACCCCATGGACAACGTTCCTCCAGGCCTTCCTGTCCTCTACCATCCTCTGGAGTCCATTTAAGCTCACGCCGACTGCTTCAGTGACTCCATCCAGCCATCTTGTTCTCTGCCATCTCGTTCTTCTTTTGCCCTCCATCTTTCCCAGCATTAGGCTCTTCTCCAGTGAGTCCTTCCTTCTCATTAGGTGGCTAAAGTATTTGAGTTTCATCTTCAGGATCTGGCCTTCTAAAGAGCAGTCAGGGTTGATCTCCTCTAGGACTGACCGGTTTGATCGCCTTGAAGTCCAAGGGCAGGATCTTCTCCAGCACCAATATATTAGATATATATGCAATACATTAGATATGTATTAGATATGCATATGTATTAGAAATGGATTGACATTCAAATCAAAAGAATACCAGTTGCAACTGAAAATATTGGCAGGGCAATTGGAACAGCATTTAAGCCTCAAAGAGGTCCCTTCAAACTTAGAGGTGTTTCAGATTCAGAATGTTTTCTACCTCATGGTTGTGCGTATTCACACCCACAAAGCATGGCCACAAAACTGGGAAAGGAGCAAAGAAGGATAACCTACTACTACAGGCAAGAGCCTGTAGTACAGTGGACTAAAACACTGTTATTAACAACTGCTGTTTGCAATGACTGCAAGTTCCAATCTCACCAGGCTCAAGGTTGACTCAGCCTTCCATCCTTTCAAAGGTAGGTGAAATGAGGACCCAGATTGTGGGGGCAATAAGCTGACTTTGTATAAATATAGAAAAGTATGAAGGCTATTGCTTAACGCATTGTAAGCCGCCCTGAGTTTCCGGAGAAGGGCGGCATATAAATTAAAGCAAAAAAAAAAAAAAAACCAAAAGTAATCGGAGATTTACTGAGGCACCACCTCTCTAGAGAAATCCTAAACCGTTCAGAGCTTTGCAGTCTGGAATTAATTTATTATATAAAAGTATTCCCTGGAGAACACTCTTTTATATTCCTGCTCTAGTAGTAATTGAACTGAAGGATTGTCCAGAAAAACCCAAGATCTAGAAAACCCACTAAAGCAGTGGTTTCCAACTTTTTTTTGGCCAGTGCCTCATCTAAGCATCTCTAAAATCCTTATGCCCCCCTCCCCGACATATAATTCTTACTATTCAAAAAGTGAACTCCTACTCACATGGAGGAAGCCTAAAAGGCCATTAACTTGGTTTAAACAAGGTTCCAAATTGCCCCCATTAAGAATCAAATTGCCTCTCTGTGGGGCGTAGGCCCCACATTGGGAACCACTGAACTAAAGGGTCACTACCTCCAGACAGGTGGCATGGGCCTTTGAAAGGGGACTGAAAAAGGTCGTGGAGGATACATCTCTTGTCAGCCACAGTGACAGCCTGGAACAGTGTTCCTCAATCTTGACAACTAGAAGAGGGGCGGACTTCAACTCCCAGAATTCTTTGCTGGCTTGGAGGATTCTGGGAATTGAAGTCCACCTCTGAGAAAAATTGTTCTAAAGCAGATTCTCACGCATGATTTCTTTTTAAACTTACTGTTTTCTTCCTCCACAGGAAGGCCGTGAGCCTGACTACTCCGAATACAAAGAATTTAAACTGACTGTGGAAAACATAGGTTACCAGATGCTGATGAAAATGGGCTGGAAGGAAGGTGATGGTCTGGGATCTGACGGTCAGGGTATCAAAGCTCCTGTTAACAAGTAGGTGTCTGATCCTTCTTTTGTTATTTCTTGATTTTTGGGGGGGGGGGAATTCCTTCCATTTTCCTCTGCTGAGAAACTCACAGAGCAGCGAACAAGTTAGAAAACTAAACCCAAAATATATAGAACATCAGTGTAGAAAGAAGATAGTTATAAAATTGATAGAATAAAGTCTACCTTTTATATAACATCACCAGTATGTTCTTTCTGATATGACATACTGGCTTAGCAGTTTGAAGTCCACATTGTTTAGAATAATTTGCTTTTCAGATGTTTGGTTACAGACAGATGAGAATCAGGGATGTTTCAGCAGATATTAGAGAGGAGAAGCTGCAGAGGGAAGACCAAAACAAGCATCTCTTCTTTTTTTTTTCATCCCTGTATTCATGTGGCCAGACTCAATGACATTGTCACAGGGAGGAATGTTGGCTTCCTTCTGTGAACAGACAGGAAGGAGTCAGAGGCCGTGTGCGCTGCCATGAGTCTGCCTATCAGTGATCATTCTAGATCAGGGCTGTCAAATTCCTGGCCCGCGGGCCGGATGCGTCACGTGCTGGCCACGCCCATGCCCAGTTTTGCAAAGGGGTGGGGAAAGTGTCAATACGTCACGTGACACCGCTGTGACGAGGTAAGTTTGACACCCCTGTTCTAGATAATCTGCTTGGAAGGAGTGGAATGGAATTAGAATTTAGAATTTAGAATTTAGAATTTAATTAATAGAATAGAATAGAATAGAATAGAATAGAATAGAATAGAATAGAGGAGGGGAGAATGAATTAGAATAGAAAAGAATAGAATAGAATAGAATAGAATAGAATAGAATAGGGGAGAATAGAATAGAGGAGGGGAGAATAAATTAGAATAGAAATAAATAGAATAGAATAGAATAGAATAGAGGAGGGGAGAATGAATTAGAATAGAAAGAATAGAATAGAATAGAATAGAATAGAATAGAATAGAATAGGGGAGAATAGAATAGAGGAGGGGAGAATGAATTAGAATAGAAATAAATAGAATAGAATAGAATAGAAATAAATATAGAATAGAATAGAATAGAATAGAATAGAATAGAATAGAATAGAATAGAATAGAATAGAATATTTATTTATTGGTTCGATTTATATGCCGTCCTTCTCCGGAGACTCAGGGCAGCTTACAATGCATTAAGCAATAGCCTTCATACTTTTGTATATACCTGCTTAATAGGGCTTTTGGGGGCCCCCTAAGCGGTGTTCTTTTTTTTATACAAAGTCAGCTTATTGCCCCCACAAACCGGGTCCTCATTTTATCTACCTCGAAAGGATGGAAGGCTGAGTCAACCTTGAGCCTGGTGAGATTTGAACTTGCAGTAATTGCAGGCAGCTGGTGTTACTTAACAGCGCTTTTAGTCTACTGCGCCACCAAGGCACCAAAAAGAATAGAATAGAATAGAATAGAATAGAATAGAATAGAATAGAATAGGAATTAGATGATAACTTCATTGTCACTTTAAATGTACACTAATCAACATACATTAAAATGAAATTATGTTGCATATAGCTCTCAAAGGGTCACCACCTGCTAACCTGCTGATGACCTGCTAATCCCTTCTCATACCAGAGTCGCTATGAATGCTCTCTTTTTTTTCTTTTTAAAGGGTGAGGGAAGACTGGATCATGATTGGGATGGATCTGGCAGTCATAAGTTTTGGTTTGGTAGCAAGGTGTCCCAGTGTAGGGGAAAAAAATTAAATATATTTGCAGGTAGTCCTTGATTTATGACTGTAATTGAGCCCAGAATAATGGTCAACAAGTTGCCTGTCATTAAGTGGGTCACCACACATAGGAACCCAATTTTAGTACCACTGACTTTGCCTTGTCAGGTTGCAAAAGGGGGTCATGTGACCCAAGGATCCTGCAACCGTCATAAATATGAGTCAGTTGCCAAAAGTTTGAATTTTGATACCATAGCGGTATCCCCATGGTCACACAATCAGAATTCAAACTCTTGGCAACTGACTCATATTTATGACGGTTGCAGGATCCCAGGGTCACATGACAGGGCAAAGTCAGTGGGGAAGCCAGGTTCACTTAACAACTGTGTTACTCACTTAACAGCTGCGGTGATTCACTTAACAACTGGGGCAAGAAAGGTTGTAAAACGGAACAAAAGTCCCTTAACAAGCGTCTCGCTTAGCAATGGAAATGTTGGGCTCTGCTGTGGTTGTAAATCAAGGACTACCTGTAATAAGATATAAGGACCCCTACCTTGGAAAGGGGTTGGACTAGAAGGCCTCCGTTGTCCTATGACTCTGTGGTTTTAATCCGCCCTGTTCTAAAAGGTCTGGTCTATGGCAGCTTCCTCATATCCATGCACAAGAAGTAAACGCAGCTCTTTCCCAACCAGGGGGGTGACGGCCGTGGATGGAGCAGGGTTTGGAATCGACCGTCCTGCTGATTTGTCCAAGGATGATGACGAGTACGAAGCCTTTCGGAAGAGGATGATGTTGGCCTACAGATTCCGGCCCAACCCACTGGTGAGAGAAGCCCCACCCCTCGGGGATCCTTTTTCCCATGTCAGAAATTATGCTTATACAATTGATTTATATCCAAAGTAGGTTAGGGATACATTTGAACAGTCTTTTTAAAATAACCTAGCACTTAGACTTATATACCGCTTCACAGTGCTTTTACAGCCCTGTCTAAGCAGTTTACAAAGTCAGCCTACTGCCCCCAACAATCTGGGTCCTCATTTTACCGACCTTGGAAAGGCTGAGTCAACCTTGAGCCAATGTCAACCGTCCCATTTGGCGCATTCAACAAAAGAAACTCCCAGCTCTTTAGATTAATCAAGAGAATAGCTTTATTGAAAAATCCATCTAGGCACGGCAAAAGCAAAGTCAGTGCTGGTTTTTCCCATGAAAATCCACATATATAACTCCCCTTTTCCCCTCCGGGCCACCCACAGTTCATAGTTCACCAATTGAGTTCAGTTCTTTTGCTTTGGGAAAAGCTGTCTGCTTCGGTCAAAATATTCATCACTTGGCCTTGTTAGATAAGGTGTCTCTCCAGCAAGAGACGGATCACTTGCATTCCATAGCCTCCCCCCCCCCCACCTAGGAATTCACCACCCTTCTCCCATCACTGATTGGCAAAGCTGCAGATAAAAGCAGGTACAGGCAACTAGGGAGCTGAGTCAGGTTTGACTACTGGTCAGGATCAAACTCCAGGCTGTTGGCAAAGTTAGCCTGCACTACTGCATTCTAACCACTGCACTACCAGGGCAGGCATGAACTTTTAATTTCTTGACATTTTACCCTGAAAGTGCCAGGACGGACTGTTTTCATTGGGATGTCCTGATCTGAGTTGCCTTTGACTGCAAAAAAATTTATTGAAGGAACTATTTGAACGGGTTGTTTGCTTCACTGTGACTGATTGACTATATTCTATTGACTATATTGATACAGACTGATTGACTATATATTCTATTTTATTCTATATTCTATTCAAAACATTTTGCAGCACTTTATGGTAAGGATTATTTTACCAAACATCAAAATAAGGTTAATCACTTAAAATGCTGTATCCATTTATTCTGCAAAAAGAATTCATGTAAGAATATTTAGGAAGGAGATCCTGCTAGTGGGATCTACCGTATTTTTCAGAGTATAAGCCGCTCCGGACTATAAGACGCGCCTACCTTTTTTGGTGAGGAAAGCAAGAAAAAGAAATCTGCCTCTGCCTCCCAGCAATTTTGCCACATTGCAGCAAGCAGCAAATAGCCTGCTTTTTTCGTTTTCAGCATAGCTTGATTAGCACAAGAAACAAAAATCGGCTCCCAGGCAGCAGAGGGCTGTTTCATCTTGATGCTTGCCGCAAGGAGGTAAATTGCTGGGAGGCAGAGGCCAAAGGGTGGGGGCAGTGGGTGGGTGAGGCTACATTCAGTGTATAAGACGCACCTAAATTTTCACCTCCTTTTAGGGGGGGGGAAAGGTGCATCTTATACTCCGAAAAATACAGTATATTGATCTGTTGTGGGGGAAGATGGCTTCCCCTTAGGATGCCAGCCAGCTAGCCCAACTTTTCTTTTTCCAGAAACTCCATTCTGTTCTCACACAATGTGTTGCTAGCCTATTTAAATCTCATTCGAGAAAATCCTTCAAACGTAAATCTTCAAAAATACATGGAGCAGTTTTCTCTCTCTATAGCTCAGCTTTTATTTAATCTTGCATACATAACGCTGCATTGAGTCCATGTTAACTGTGGGAACAGTAAAAATAGCAGCAGTTGAGAAAAGTATTATAGAACATGCAAACAACAGTTATAAATGTAACACCAAAAACAGCAGGTTGTGGAACAGCTGCTGTTCTTCATTCTTGGAATGAAGCTTGAGTCCAGGTAATCCTCAATTTACAACCATTTGTTTAATGACCAGTGTTACAATGGCACTGAAAAAAGAGGCTTATGGCCATTCTTCACCCTTAAAATGGTTGCAGCATCCCCACAGTCACAAAGCCATGGGGATGCTGCATAGGACAAGAAACATAGAGGCAGTCCTTAATTTACAACTATTTGTTTAGTGACTGAAGTTACAACAGAACTGGGAAAAGTGACTTATGACCAGTCCTTGCACTTACAACTACTGCAACATCCCCACAGTCATATGATCAAAATTCGGACACTTGGCGACTGGCTCCTATTTATGACGGGTGCAATGTCCCAGGATCATGTGATCACATTTGTGACCTGACAGAGTTAATGGGGAAGCCAGATTCACTTTAACAACCGTGTGAGTAACTTAACAAAGGAAGTGATTCATTCCACAGCTACAGCAAGAAGTCGTAGAATCGTAGCAAAACTCACCTAACCGTAGGACGAGGAGAAAGCTGACATTCTCAACTTACGACCACAACTGGGAATTTCCATTGCTAAGCAAGACAGGCGTTAAGTGAGAAAATTGTGCCCAATTTTATAACTTTTTTTTTTTTTTTTTTTTTTGCTATAATTACTAAACAAATCACTAAGTGAATTACATGCTCATTAAGCAAGTCCATCTTTCCCCATTGACTGCCTGTCGGAAGCCAGCTGGGGCAGTCACAAATGGTGATCACGTGACCTTGGAATGCATAAATACATGCCAGTTGCCAAGTGCCTGAATTTTGATCGTGTGACTGGGGATGTTGCAGTGGTTGTAAGTGCAAGGACTGGTCATAAGTCACTTTTCCCAGTTCTGTTGTAACTTCAGTCACTAAACAAATAGTTGTAAGTCAAGGACTAACTAGCCTGACTAGGTGGCTCAATGGCTAACACACTGAACTTGTTGATCAGAAAGGTCGGCAGTTTGGTGGTTCAAATCCCTAGTACAGATCTCCTGCGTGAGCAGGGGGTTGGACTAGATACCTCCAAGGTCCCTTCCAACTCTGTTACTGTTACTGATTACCTGTTCTGCCCCAGCTACGGACCCCAAAGAATGCAGCACACACAAACTCTATACAAACCTTATTTTACTCAAATAACTTAGTCTTTATCAATCAAAGGCTGTTAATAAACTGTCTTAACAGCCTACCAGAATTCTGAGATAAGGTAATCACAGTCTTACTAGAGTTGGCAGAAAGCCCAGAAGCAATTTGCAGAGAATCCAGACACGAAGGAGAGTGAACAAAGTTGTTCCCTGCAAATTGCTTCAGTCGTCATCCTTCCTTAAATAGGCTAAGGGAGTGGCCAATTAGCCCCAAGCCTTACTCTCGAGGAGACCTCCTCCTGAGGAGCCACTCCTGCCTTTTGGCAGCTCTGCGCACCCGTGCATTGAGAAGAGGCTCCTCCTCTTCTTCCTCGTCACTTAAAGGAGCTTCTGGAGGTTCTGAAGGCCCTGGCTGAATCCCTGCCTCTGGCACCACATCTTCTTCAGCCTCCTCACTGTCCGACTCAAGTGCCAGCTGCACAGGCTGCTGGCGCAGCACCACACCAGCCTCCTCGCTGTCGGAATCAGCTACAATCATCACAGGCCACTGACTACCTCTATGTTTCTTGTTCTATTAGTGCCCTCACTTTCCCAGAGGTCCACATTTGAGATGAAATTCCATACAGTCTGCGCTCAATCTACCATAAAGGAGTAGGATAGAGAGATTGGGATAGTCCTTGGTCTTTGGGAGACCTTTTCAGGAGAAATGGTAATGGGAGGGATACCAGCAGAGTTTAAGACAGCCGGGACTCCTTCCTGGATTGCTTTCAAGTTAGGTTGGCCACCAACTGCTGATTTGCAGCATCACTGACTCCGCAAACGACTGCACTTGTGAAGGTACCATGCAGTTTTGCAATTGACAAGGCCGGTTTACTTGTGGGAAGTGGGGGGCCCAGGTTCCCTTGGCTGTAGAACGTCGGCCTATTCTGGTTTTGCATCTCCCTTGAATTCAAAGAACAGCCAGATTCACATGTTTCACCAGGATGTAGCTTCTTTCATCACACGTTTCTTGGATACACCAGAATGGATGCAACATTCCAAGCCTTAAGGATTAAACGTGATCACTTCATCCAACCAGTTAAAAAACCCAGGAACAAAAAAAAAAACCATGTGATGTCAAACAATGTGATGATCACTTCAAAAAGGACGGTGTTGGGTTAAAGCCTCAGATTCTGCTGGCCTTCTGTTACCATGATTTGAATTTTATCTTTTTTTTTTTCTCTCTCTCTCTCCAGAACAACCCTCGGCGTCCTTATTATTGATGCAGCAGTATGTTTCTTCTCACCTCCCACCTACTCCCTGGTCCTCCAGTGATGGATTGTTTACTGTGACAAGTTTATTTTAAAAAAAAAAAATGTCCCTCTCTTTCATTTAGAAGGACTCTGTTTCAGGTTTAGCCTCCCATCTGTTTACCCGACCACAGATGTTGGACCTTTTTGATGTGGTTGCAGAGCTCACCCCCTCTTGTTGTTTTTTGTTTTTTTTTTAAGTGTGACCCCATTAAAGAAAGAGAAGGAGCAAGTCAGAACTGAGACAGTCAGAAAAATGTTCCCGAGTCATACATAGCCCAACCATTTGTGAGAAAGCGGGGAATTGGCCTAAAAACATTTGTTAAATAATGTGTGATCTTCATTTTACTCGGTTTCATGGGTGTTTTTTTTTTGAAGCCCTGCTTCTTTCCTCATGAACATAGAAATTCTGGGTTGCTGTCCCTTGTTGATGGCGGGGCCTGCAGGGAAGGATCGCAGGATGGGGTGTAGCAGGCGAGCAGCAGCACAGGTGGAAATAAGGAAGGTAGAGAGGCGTTCATAGCTGCCAAACATAGTAGAGAGGCTTTCCAGCTTCCGTTCGAAAGAGCAGGATTTGGATTGCAGTAATTTAGGAAAGGGAACTGTTTTTAAATTGGAAGGGCGCACAAATTATCCCAGAGTATTACCTCTCTGTGGGGGTGTCACTTTTATCCCAGTTCTGAGGTAATCTTGTGAAAGCATGCAAAGCCATTGCGTATCGGCCAACCTTCTCTTTTTAGAGGACAATCGGCTCCCCTTTTTCTCACTCTTTAGTCATTTCAAAGAGCGCGGAAGCTTGAATTGCTTCTTAGACCCAAGCCAGAGGCCAAAACCAAACATATCTTTAGCCAGATTCTCATTAGTAGATTTTAATAATCTTTCAGGTTTGTCCCAAAGGAGAAAGGTTAGAGAAGTGGGGGGGGGGAGAACCAAAAAGTCTTTTTCTTGGTACAAATACATGCCCTGTCCACCAAGGCAAACCTCTTCTCTTCCATGATCTTCCAACATTAAAACAACTGTGGTTCCTTTCAGGTAGGCTCTGAAACGATGCTTATTTTCATTTTTATTAAATCTTAATGATGTAGAGTTGATACGTTGGGCTTTCGCCAAACATGTTAATAAAGCTAGAGAAATAATGTGAGGAAGGTTGGGTTTTTTTTCTCTTTTGAATGTCCTGACGATGAGCTTGGTTTTTTTTTCCAAAATTCCCAAGAATGATTGATGGGTGTACATGGTTCTCGATAGAGAAGACATGGGGAAGCAGCATCTCTCTATGTATCATCGTCTTCATTTAATGACCCCCTAATCCCTTGCGGGGTGGAGTCTGGGCAACTGAATGGAGCTAGCAGAATGTTTTAATGGCCAGATGCCCTTCCTGTCGCCAGTGCAGAGTTTTGTTCATGTTCTGACCTAGGCCTTAAAAAGCAGGAAGTCTTGGTCCCGGCAAAACCTCTTTTATTTACACGACTGAATTCCTTTCATTCACAGTCAGCAAGGCTTGTCCAAACAGTTTTTCAAAGGAATAGTTATCAACACACCTTACCTCACTTGGCAAGCTGCCATGTAACTTGTTTCCAAACGAGGCAAAAGGCAAAACTTGGCACAGAGTCTCTCAGAGTCACGGAACGAATGAATTGTTTCCTGCAAAAGCCCCCTCCCCATTCACTTCTCTTTTGTTTCCTATGGAAGGGGCCAATCATCTCCAAGGTGTGGCTTTACTCCCAAGTCGACCCTGCTTTCTGAGTTCTTGTCTTTGGCAGCTCTGCACATGCCCACACTGGGAACGGGCTCCAGCTGTTCCTCTGCCTCACTGCTGTCTAGCTACCTCCCTCTTTGCCTCCAACGCAGAGCACTTGTCCGAGGTTTCCCCAGCCCCGGCCCATGTTCCTCCCCAACCTCCTCACTGTCCAACTCTGCTGCCAGCTCTGCTGGCGGGCCACAACAGTTCAGCAGATACATTCTCAGTGTGCCCAGAGAGGGAAATATCTACCTCTACCTAGGATCGAACTCACAGCCTCCTGATTGGGAGGTGAGAGCTCCACCTCTAGGCCACCGCACCACTCTCAGCATCTCTCTCTGCATGTTTGGGAAAAAATGGACTTTCTTACCTGCCAAGGTTGGGAGTGGATGCACACAAGAAACCCTCCATGCCAGGATCTTAGAGATAGGACCACTCCTTCCAAGTATCCCTCAGTGCAAGCACAGCTAGTCCTCGACTTATGATCAGAATTTTAATTGCTAAGCAAGACAGTTGTTAAGTGAGTCATGCCCAATTTCACGACCTTTTTTTTGTCAAGGTTGCCAAGTGTAGAACTACGATTGTTAAGTGAATCTCACAGCCGCTAAGCAAATCTGGCTTCCCCTCTTGACTTAGCTTGTCAGAAGCCAGCTGGGAAAGCCGCAAATGGTGATCATGTGATCCCAGGATGCTGCAGCTATCATAAATGCCTGTGGGTTACCAAGCAACTAAATTTTGACCATGTGACTGGGGATGCTGCCATGTGAGGTATGGTCATAACGGTGGGTTTCAAAATTTTTTACTACCAGTTCATGGCTTGGTGGGTGTGGCTTGGTGGGTGTGGCAGGGGAAGGATACTGTAAAATCTCCATTCCCACCCCAATCCAGGGGAAGGTTATTGCAAAATCCCCATTTCCTCCCAATCAGCTGGGACTTTGGGAGGCAGAGAAGAGATGGTGGCGGGGCCAGTCAGAATTTTTACTACCGGTTCTCCAAACTACTCAAAATTTCCGCTACCGGTTCTCCAGAACTGGTCAGAACCAGCTGAAACCCACCTCTGGGTCATAAGACACTTTTTCAGAGGCGTTGTAAATTTTAACAGTCATTAAGCGAATGGTTATAAGTCGAGGACAGCCTGTACAGCCTCATAGCTTTTGTCACTTGGAAAATAGACGGGTGGGACTATAAAACGATGTAAAACGGATGTGGAGACTCTAGAAAGAGTGCAGAGAAGAGCAGCAAAGATGATTAGGGGACTGGAGGCTAAAACATGAACCTTTGCTGGAACTGGGTATGCCTAGTCTGATGAAAAGAAGAACTGGGGTGAATTAAATAGTTTAATGAAAAGAAGGACTAAGGGATGATACGATAGCAGTGTTCCAATATCTAAGGGCCTGCCACAAAGAAGCTTGTCCTGCCTTCACGTGTTTTTATCCAAACACCTGAAAGCAGGTCAAGAATGGATGGAAGCTAATCAAGGAGAGAAGCAACCTAGAACTAAAGAGAAATTTCCTGACAGTTAGAACAATTAATCAGTGGAACAACTTGCCTCCAGAAGCTGTGAATGCTCCAACACTGGAAGTTATTAAGAAGATGTTGGATAGCCATTTGTCTGAAGTGGTGTAAGGTCTCCTGCCTGAACAGGGAGTTGGACTAGAAGACCTCCAAGGTCCCTTCCAACTCTTTGTCATTCTATAATTTCTTCTCCTTGGTTGCCGGGAGGAAACAGCTGGTCGGTAGAAGTGGTATTTGACCACTAAGAAAGGCCATAAGGACCTAAGCATTGTCCTGCTGGTCTCATCTCATCTTTTAATAATAACACATGGGACGTTACAAGTATCTTCAGCTGTTGATGTATGGATAGTCCTCGACTTACAGCCATTTGTTTAGTGACCGTTGGAAGCTACAACAGCACTGGAAAAAAAAGACAACCATTTTTTCACACTTAAACCATCGCAGCATCCCCCCCCCCATGGTTACGTGAACAAAATTCAGGCGCTTGGCAACTGATTCATATTTATGACGGTCGCAGTGTCCCGGGGACATGTAATCCCCTTTTGCCACCTTCTGACAAGCAAAAGTGAAGGGGGAAGCCAGATTCACTTAACAACAATGTGACTTAAGCTAACAACTGCAGTGATTCACCTAACAAGGTTGTAAAATGGAGCAAAATTCACTTAAACATCTCACTTCACCACAGAAATGTTGGGCTCAATTGTGGTTGTAAGTCAGCTACCTGTATTTATTAAATGAATCTATACGGCTGCCCAACTCGGGGTGACTTCAGCTGGCTTACAACTTTTACATTTCATGATGTAAGAACCCGTAAACCCCTCACTCCCCCCCTCCACTTACTCCCTCAAGAAAATAATTAAATCTCTCTCTCTAAAAAAAAAAAAAAATCAGTTGTTTTGTCATTGATTACTTGATGTTCCTTGATCCTGTTATCAAAATGAGCCTATAAAGATACAAGCATCCTTTTGCGTTCAAATTATATTTTCCTTCCTTCCTTGTGACTGCCATCCTTTATAGACATTATCCAAAATCCTCCAGGGCAGCTGAAAAAAAATTCTTCTCTTGATAAATGTCCCTGTTGCTAACAAGAAGAAAATTTTCTGTACCCTTGCAAGTTGAAGAATTTTTTTTAAAAAAAAAGATTACAGTATGCAGTACATTCATAATAATTCTTTAGATGTGGGGAAATCAGCTTTTTATAAGCACATAAGAATCCCACTGGATTTAATTTTCATCTCATTTTTAGCTGCAGTTTTCATGTTTTCTGGGGCAGGGAAAAGCAAAACCATTGTATTTATGCTTTATATTCATTGGTGTAGAAAAAACTAAGCTGGACCAATGGCTGATCTGAAAGCAGCTCTATTTGGGTAGTCCTTGACTTACAACATTTACTTGGTGACGGTTTGAAGTTACAACAGCACTGAAAAAAATGACTTATGACCATTTTTTTCACACAACCCTTGCAACATCCCCATGGTCACATGATCAAAATTCAGATGTTTGGGAATTGACTCATATTTATGACGGTTTCAGTGTCCTGGGGTCATATGAACACCTTTTTCTAACTACCTGACAAACAAAGTCAATCAGAGAAACCAGATTTGGTTAATAACTGTTACTAAGTTAACAACTGCAGTGGTTCACTTAACAACTGTGACAAAGTTAGTAAACTGGAGAAAAACTCACTTAACAACAGCCTCACTTAGCAACATTTATTTATTTATTTATTTATTGGTTCGATTTATATGCCGCCCTTTTCCGGAGACTCAGGGTGGCTTACAATGCATTAAGCAATAGCCTTCATACTTTTGTATATACCTGCTTAGTAGGGCTTTCGGGGGGCCCCTAAGCGGTGTTCTTTTTTTTATACAAAGTCAGCTTATTGCCCCCACAAACCGGGTCCTCATTTTACCTACCTCGAAAGGATGGAAAGCTGAGTCAACCTTGAGCCTGGTGAGATTTGAACTTGCAGTAATTGCAGGCAACTGGTGTTACTTAACAGTGCTTTAGTCTGCTGCGCCACCAAGGCTCTTGGTGGGGCTCTTTTTGGGCTCAATTGTGGTCCTAAATCGAGGACTACCTGCATTAAGTATTGTTTGCACTTGGACTGCAGTCTGTCTTTTAATGGAGGGGGAATAAAATCCACTGAACAATGGCAAAATGATGATTTCATGGATCATTTTAATTAATCACATTTTGGTGATTTAAAGAAGGCCTGTTCTGGGTCCCTGTTGCTCACCAGGATCATTGGCCAAGTGACAGATTGCCTTGGTGTGATGATCACAATTTGTGGAAGGTCCTTCAGGTATTTTGAAAATACTGACCAAAGCAGCAATTGTTCTATCATATATTTAAACCTCCAGTGAAGTAAATGGCACCTTTGATGTACCTGAATATTTATTTATTAGAGTTATATTCTAACTTTGGGGAAGTTCACTATTTTTCCCCAAAACAACATTCCTGCAGAGTAGGCTGGGCTGAGAGAGGTGGGACTGGCTGAAAGACAACCAATGAGCTTCCTAGGAGATCCCCACTCCTAGCACAGCACCAACTACCCCGATTGGTTCTTATGCTGGGAGGGCGGGATTAGCCCAAATTCAGCCAATAAACTGCTATGGCTGAGGAAGGCCTAAAATCTGGGTCGCCCCACTCATAATTCAACACCTCCACTACTTTACCATCCTGTATCAGCGAAAACCTTTGACAGATTTCTATTATGTATATCTGTTTTTAATGAATTTTGGGAGGGAATTTTGCACTACTCTGCTCAGAATCCATCAAGTTTGGGGCAGGCTATAAATACAGTAAAATCAGTCAATAAAACAAATGAAGCTATGACTATATAACTTGCTCAGGTGCCTCCCCCTTTCCTGGATTGGGGGACAAACCAGCTGCAACTCAATCCTAGCAAGATAGTTGGGGGTTTGGGGCACCTGGAGTCCAACGCCTGGAGTTGTTATGATGCTGACTGGGGAATTCTGGGAGTTGACGTCCACATGCCTTCAACGTACCAGATTTAAAAAACACTGCATTAAGTTCTTTAAAGACAAAAAGAGCACCATGAATGAAAAATGAAACATAGCTTTCTGAACTCAAGAACGGCCCAGATAAAATAAATACAAGTAATCCTCGATTTACAACCATTTATTTAGTGACCGACTGAAATTACAACAGCACTGAAAATAACTGGTCCTCGCATTTACAACCGTCATAGCATTCCCGTGGTCACGTGATCAAAATCCAAGCACTTGGCAATCAGTATGTATTTATATGGTTCCAGGGTCCCGCAATCACCATTTGCAACCTTCCCAGCTGGTTTATGACAAGACAAGTCAGTGGGGGAAGTCAGGTTTCTTTTAACGACTGCCTGATTCACTTAACAGCACTACGCTTAACAACTGTGGCAAAAAAAAGGGTCACAAAATCGGATGCACCTTGCTTAGCGAGAAATTCTGGTCCCAGTTGCGGTCGCAAGTCGAGGACTACTTGGAAACACAAATCAAAAGCAGTTTATATTATTTTAATTCCATGCACTGGATTTGTAAATCTGCCCAATTCAAAAGGACTCTGCTCATTATCATACAGCATAAAAAGAATTAACAAAACAGTTGATGAGGAAAATCAACATTACCAATTTGGGAATAGAGAACAGATGCAAGGCCCTACAATGTATTTTAAAAGAGTGGCACTTAAATTGTCGCAGCCAATTATCCCTTTTCCTCGAATAATACTATTACGCCCATTTAAAAAAAACAAAAAGACTAGTTTTACACAAGCGTTTCAGCCACAGCAATCCCAAAATGGATCCTCGACTCACAAATAAGCAATTACAAATTGCTCCATTACTCCCCCAGGATGTGCCCAAATTTCTCCCTCAGGGAAAATTCCCCCCAGTTTTAAGAATCACTGTTCTAAATTCAGAGTCAGGAAAGCATTATAGGATAAACTAAAAGCTAGCCAGCTTATAACCATGCAGGTTCTCCTTTTTAAAAAACTGATTTGCAACCCATCCTGGCATATATATATATATTGCAATGACTTTTAACAGCAATCTGCCAACACAACAAAGCTAAAACAGGGGAAGCTCGCACTGGAAATGATGGATTAATAGGAAAAGCTCTGCCAGCGATATTTCTGCCTTGATAGGCAGCTCTCTCCCTTTTCAGTCAAGTATTTTTAACACTGGCCTGATTTACAGCTGCAATCCTATCAAGGATCCCTCCCAGTAAGCTGCACAGCAGAGCAAAATATATACCTGGTGACCCTGAAAAAGATGACAGGCTGTTCCTAAATATGCTCTTCGATCAGAGGTGCTGTAGCAAATCCAGCAGTGATCAGGGGGGGTTGGACTGCATGACCTCTAGGGCAGTGATGGCTAACCTGTTTGCCATCGCGTGCCAAAAGCAGGGGGAGCGCAGGGGGGTTGTGTGCGTGCATGCCCATAATTCAATGCGCCCCACCCCCCCGTGCATGTGTGTGCAACCCCCCCGCGCTTTCCCCGCTATTGGCACACGATGACACGGTGGGGCCGGAAGGACTGTTTTTTTGCCCTCCCCAGGCTCTAGAGCCTTTCTAGGAGCCTGGGGAGGGCAAAAACAGCCTTCCCCATCCACCCAGAGGCCAGAAACAGCCCATTTCCCGATATCTGGTGGGCCCGGACAGCGGGAAAATCAGGTAACCGGCACACGCATGTGCGCTGGAACTGAGCTAGGGCAATGGCTCACGTGGTCGAAGATATGGCTCCGTGTGCCACCTGTGGCACGTGTGCCATAGGTTCGCCATCACGGCTCTAGGGTGTCTTGCCACTAAAGCTTTATGCCTCTTTGTTTGGTCCTAGCCGTGCAGACTTGCAACCTTGATTTGCTGAACATCTGAATTCAAAACGTCTCAATGACAGACAGTTTTGACAACATGAAATGGTACAGGCACATTTCCCAAAGGTGATTTCTCCCCCCCCCCCAAGAGGCAACTGGACTTTCTTGTTTTTCTTTGAAGAATCACCCAAGAAGCTTCTTCAGCTCTGACTGGATGATGGGGAATGGAAGGATTTATACTCCTTGCAGACAGCTGGTCCTTTGCAATTTTTTTTAGCCAGTTCTTAAAAGAATGCAAAAAGAAAAAAAAAAAAGAACAAAGGACCAGTTGTCTGCAAGGAAAAAGAGCCTTGGTGGTGCAGCGGACTAAAGTGCTGTTAAGTAGCACTTAGCTGCCAGCTGCCTGCAATTACTGCGAGTTCAAATGTCACCAGGCTCAAGGTTGACTCAGCCTTCCATCCTTCCCAGGTAGGTAAAATGAGGACCCCGATTGTGGGGGCAATAAGCTGACTTTGTATATATATATTAAAAAAAGAACACCGCTTGGGGGGGGCAAAAGCCCTACTAAGCAGGCATATACAAAAATATGAAGGCTATTGCTTAAAAGCATTGTAAGCCGCCCTGAGTCTCCAGAGAAGGGCGGCATATATATCGAACCAATCAATAAAATCAATCAATCAATCAATCAATATAAATTCTTCCATTCCCCATCATCCAGAGCTGGAGAAGCTCTTTGGATGAGAAGTGAAACATCATCAAAGAAGACCATCTTCTGCCACCAGTAGCCTCCCACTGGGCAGTCCGCTCCCACAGAGAGGGTCTCCTCAATCGGCCAAATTTTGTCAGCTGGCGACACCCAGGGGGAGGGCCTTCTCTGTGGGAGCCCCTGCCCTTTGGAATGAGCTGCCCCCAGAAATTCGTAAAATCTCTTCAAAACGTCTTCAAAGAAAACCAAGAAAGTCCAGTTGCCTCTTGAAAAAAACAGCACCTTTGGGACAACCATGACCTGGAGGACTGAGAATCACCATAGATGCAAAGGCACGTTTGTTTTGGACTTTGCAGCTAATTGCGCAAATCTTAGGGTGGTGGTGGGGGAAGGCCGCTGCTAGGGCTTCGTTTATGCCAGCTAGAGGCTGAACCACACTTGGCAAAGCCCGTTTCTGACGGTTACTGACCCTATTGGCAAGATTACCATTTGCAGCGGTTGGTTTATTCAGCGTCTCCTGCGCCCCCGGGGGACCTGAGTCAACCCGGGATTTGGAGGACGCGCGAAAAATTCACGTGTTTTTAAAAAAGAGTTCCCTGCGCTGTTTTCTCTCCGGTCCGGTTTGCAGGGAGGCCAAATCCACGATCCTCAAAGGGGTGCTGGCCGGGGGAAGGGATGGGGTGGGGGAATGGGGGGAAGAGAACCAAACAAAGGTGCGTCTTGCCCTTTTAAGAGGTGCGCCGCTCTTTTACCCGGGATGGCTTGAGCAAGAAAGCTGCCAACAGTCACGACCTTTGGATAGAGGAGGGGAAAAAAAGTCCTCATTTTTTGTTTCTTTTCTTTTTGGGCGAGAGGATCGCATGAGCGGCGAGGAGGTTTGTGTTACGCCCGTTGTACCCGCCGCTTGGCCGATCGACCCTTTCCTGCTGGAGCGATCGCCCCTGGTCGCCCGTTCCCACGACCCTCTTCTTCCAGGTCCGCTCTCCGCGCCTTCTTGCCATGCGGCTGCATCCACTTTTGGCCGCCGTCGGCCTTTTCCTTTCCGCCTTCCCGTTATTCTACCTCTCGAACACCGTCGCGGCCTTGCACAGGTACGTGTCGTGTGAACGAAGCACAAAAGACACGGGTTTGCCCCGGGGTTGTTGTTTTTTTCCTCCCCTGATCCTCTTATTTATTTATTTATCTATCCAAGAAGCTTCTCCAGCTCTGACTGGATGATGGGGAATGGAAGGATTTATATTGATTGATTGATTGATTGATTGATTGATTGATTGATTGATTGATTGATTGACTGACTGACTGACTGATTGGTTGGTTCGATTTATATGCCGCCCTTCTCCGGAGACTCAGGGCCGCTTACAATGCGTTAAGCAATAGCCTTCATACTTTTGTATATACCTGCTTAGTAGGGCTTTCAGCCCCCCCAAGCGGTGTTCTTTTTTGTACAAAATCAGCTTATTGCCCCCACAATCCGGGTCCTCATTTTACCTACCTCGAATGGATGGAAGGCTGAGTCAACCTTGAGCCTGGTGAGATTTGAACTTGCAGTAATTGCAGGCAGCTGGTGCTATTTAACAGCACTTTAGTTTGCTGCGCCACCAAGGCTCTTAAACTTCTTTTTCCAACGACTTATGGGGACCAGGAAGAAGGGCTTAAAAAGTCTGGGGTGACCTGTCACAGTTCGAGTTGCGGGAAGGGAACACACAGGATAAAGAACAAGAGAGAAGATTAACTGAAGGTTAACAGTAACAGAGTTGGAAAGGACTTTCGAGGTCATCTAGTCCAACCTCCTGCTCAGGTTGGAGACCTGTACTAGGGATTCGAACCACTGAACTGCCAACCTTTCTGATCCACAGTGTCAAATTGAAAACATCAGTGCCTTCAGTAGTGCCCATTTATGGCCACGTTAGCGCCAGGTTGTCCCATGAGGCAACTTTTTTTTCCAAGAGGCAACTGGACTTTCTAGTTTTTCTTTGAAGACCTTTCGTTTCTCCTCCAAGAAGCTTCTTCAGCTCTGAAGAAGCTTCTTGGATTTGGGTAGGTTTTCGGTAAAGGCACACCCTCCCTGTAGAGCTGGACTGTTTTCAGGTGGTCCTTAAATAAGCCTGAGGAAAAAAATTCCTGACTTTTGATCATTTTTAGTAGCTTTTCAATAGCTTTGTTAATTCCAATTTTACCCTGATTTAAAGCGGTTGTTTTATTTTAGTGAATTTCAATGCTTTAAAATGTAATGCAATGTAGACTGTTTTAATGACAGGGAGTTGAATGTAGGGGGGTTTAAATGAGATAGTTTAAAATTTAATGCTTTTAGGGAAAGATAAACATCTTAAGGATAGTAGCAACAACAGTCATAATAATAGGGCCCTGCTTGACATAGCTACAATTTTAACTGCCAATTTGCCCCAGTGCCTCCTCTCCTTCTGGCAGGTATAAGTGATCGCGATGATCCTATTTAAAATGATCACTTGGGAAGGGGAACCCCTAAATTTTGAAATTTTGGCAAGCTGAGCCTCCATTAAAATCTCCAGGTTTGTGTCTCGCCCAATCTGGTAATGTTCTCCAACTGCATCTGCCTGTCATTTCTTGTGCCTCACAATTTGCCCATGAAAATGTCACAGCACAAAGGGAAAAAGTGTTGGGTCGGGAAGAGGCGAGACCTCTTACTTCTTGAAAATCAAATGGTAGTTATTAAAATGAGAAGCAGGAAACTATTCAGCGAGAAGAAGACAAATGAGATTGGTGTTTTGGTCGGTCAGTGGATGAGGTGGCCTGGTTAGGGTTAGGGTTAGATTGGTCCACATTTTCTGCTACAATCCCTATCTGGAGTTCAGAGTAAGAGTCCAATTCGAATCCAGGAATTATTATTTATTTAGCCTATGATGAGAACATGACAGAAGTAAATATTTATTTATTTTTATTTTATTTTGTCGCATTTCTATGCCACCCCACTCCCAAGGGACTCTGGGCAGCATAGAAATACCGGTAAATCCTCAATTTACAAAAGTTTATTTAGTGACCGTTCAAAGTTACCCCATTTTATGACCACATACAACCAGAGGTGGGTTTCAACAGGTTCTGACCAGTTCTGGAGAACCGGTAGTGGAAATTTTGAGTAGTTTGGAGAACCGGTAATAAAAATTCTGACTGGCCCTGCCCCCATCTATCCTCTGCCTCCCAAGTCCCAGTTGATTGGGAGGAAATGAGGATTTTTTTTTTTTTAATTTGATTTATATGCCGCCCTTCTCCGGAGACTCAGGGCGGCTTACAATGCGTTAAGCAATAGCCTTCATACTTTTGTATATTTATACAAAGTCAGCTTATTTCCCCCACAAACTGGGTCCTCATTTCACCTACCTTAGAAAGGATGGAAGGCTGAGTCAACCTTGAGCCTTGGAGAGATTCGAACCAGCAGTAATTGCAGGCAGCTGTGTTAATAACAGGGTGCGTAGACCACTGTACTATCAAGGCTCTTTTGCAGTAACCTTCGCTTGGATTGGGTAGGAAATGGAGATTTTACAGTATCCTTCCTCTGCCACGCCCACCAAGCCATGTCCACAGAACCGGAAGTAAAAAATTTTGAAACCCACCGCTGCATACAATCATTACAGCATTTCCATGGTCATGTGATCAAAATTCAGATGTTTGGCAACCGACTCATATTTATGACGGTTGTAGTGTCCGGGGGGGGGGTTTCAGGTGACCCCCTTTTGCATCCTTCTGACAAGAAAGTCAATGGGGAAGCTACATTCACTTAACAATTGTGTAACTAATTTAGCAAGTGCAGTGATTCACTTAACAACTGTGGCAAGAAAGGTCCTAAAAGGGGGCAAAACTCACTTAGCAAATGTCTCACTTAACAGAAATTTTGGGCTCAATTGTGGTCATAAGTCGAGGACTACCTCTATACACAGCCCACGTAATTATAAGTAGAACCTCTATGAGGGTATCGCAGTGGCCTCATAACCGGATGTCCAATTCAGCTATCAAGGCCTCTGGCCTTGCTTCATGAAGATCTTCTAGGGCAGGGGCGTCCAACCTTTCCAGGTTGGGTGCCCAGACTGGGGGAGAGGAGGGAAAGGGGGATGGTTTTGTGGGAGGTGCAGGTGAGATCCCTGCAACACTCGTGTGGTTGTGGACAGGAGCCCCTTCAACACTTGTGTGAGTGAGGCCTGGTTGTGAATAGGCTGCGGCCCAGTAGTGGGGCGCAGCCCACAGGTTGGTTCTAGGCAGTGGTGAAATGTAAAATTTGTTACCACTGGTTTTGTGGGCACGGTTTGGTGAGGCGGTAATGTGACTGAGTGGGTGTGGCCAACTTTTTTTTTTTTAACTTTTAAAACCATTTTTTCTACAACCGCTTCAGCCGAAGAGTTGTAGAAAAAATGCTTTTAAAAATAAAAAAAAAATCCTCTGATGATAGCGCAGCTCAGCTGGGCATGGTGGGGGCAGGGATTTTTGCTACTGGTTCTCCAAACCATCCTCCGCTATTGCTACCGGATCAGGCGATCCAGTCTGAACCAGGAGCATTTCACCCCTGGTTCTAGGGAACCGGAGCACACCCATCATGGACAACCTTGCCCAAAATATTTAATAGTTTGCAAATCAGCACCACAATCACGACAAGAGGGATCTTTCTATTCCCCACTGATACAGGGCAGAGGCACTTCTTTCACATACCCAATTCTGTTCAATTTCAACCAAACAAAGGGAGGCAGGTTAAAACTAGGTGGTTTGGCAGACGGATCGCTAATGGTCAGGCCACAAGAAAGTACCTTAGATCGGGGGTCTCCAACGTTGGCAACTTTTTAAAACTTGTGGACTTCAACTTCCAGCAAAGCTGGCTGAGGAACTCTGGGAGTTGAAGTCCACAAGTTTTAAAGTTGCCAAGGTTGGAGAGCCCTACCTTGGATCGTTCCTCTCTCCAGGCATTCTAGGGGTTAAACTGGGTAGATGTTAGTGAACAGCTGTTTTCCAAGCTGGCCTAAAAGATTTCAATTTGGTGATGGGTTGCTCATTGCCCTGGTGAATAGGGAGGACCTTGTTGTAGAGAGCATCCTTGACCATAGAGCAAGAGTCCAATTCAAATCCAGGGATCAAATCCCAGGATTCAGTGGCAGGGTTTGACTTGAAGGTTGAGCAATATGTAGTTATTAACGAAACGCCACTGTAGACAACGATGATCCATCTGATCTTTAGTTTCCCTGCTTCTCGCCAAGCAGGCTTGCCAGGGCTCCTGGCCTGTCTCCTTTGGCAGGAAATAGGGAAATCATTAATGATTGTGCCTAAAAATACATTCCGGGGTCTGCCAGCTAATCTATGCGGTGGCAATTTGCCCGTTGCTGGTGTAAAGCAATTCCAAAGGAACGCAGGGCAGCGATAGCTCCAATTTTATACGTATTAATTAGATCTTGACACTGAAGGCATTTCTAAGGAGAAATTTCCTGACAGAACAATTAATCAGTGGAACGACTTGCCTCCAGAAGTTGTGAATGTTGGAAATTTTTAAGAAGAGATTGGACAACCATTTGTCTGAAATGATATAGGGCCGTGATGGCGAACCTATGGCACGCCATCACACCTAGGCCTGCTAGCACCAAAACGAGGGTCACGCTCACATGCGTGGGGGACAGGGCCTGCGGGGGGCATTGCATTATGGGCGTTAGCATGCATGTGCACATCGTCACGCACGCATGTGTGCTTTTGGCACCCGAGGAAAAAAAGGTTCGCCATCACTGGTATAGGGTTTCCTGCCTGAGCAGGGGGTTGGACTACATGACCTCAAAGGTCCCTTCTATTCTCATTCTCATTCCATTCCATTCCATTCTATTCTATTTCTGCAGCATTTCTCTTTCTTCCCAAAATAGCAATAGCATTTAGACTTATATATCGCTTCACAGAGGGACCCGGTGGCTCAGTGGCTAAGACGCTGAGTTTGTCGATCAAAAGGTCGGCAGTTCAGCGGTTCGAATCCCTAGTGCCGCGTAACGGGGTGAGTTACAGTTACTTGTCCCAGCTTCTGCCAACCTAGCAGTTCAAAAGCACGTAAAAAATGCAAGTAGATAAATAGGGACCACCTTTGGTGGGAAGGTAACAG